TGACTCTCATATGCAGCAGAGTGCCAGTACTAGTGCCGCGCTACCTTTTGGAGAACTGGTGCGCACCAGCGGTCTAGTACATCCTGATCTTTCACATACCTATTAGATTGTAAGCTCCCAGGATTAGGCCCTCCTAACCCTCTTGTATTGAAATGTATTGTTGCTGTATTGTCTCCCTTTATATTGTAAAGAGCTGAGCAAACAGTTGGCGCCATAAATCCTGTATAATAATAATAATAACAGAAGGTCCGTACCTCCATACAGACCCGGAGCTGGGTGTTAACAATACAAGAGCCTGTGCAATGCACCCCCAATCAGGGGTGTATTTACCACAAGGCAAACAAGGAATTTGACTTGGGTGGCATATTTCAGGGGGGCAGCAGCATCTTTCAGGGGGGCAGCGGCATTGCTCAGGTGGGCAGCGCCACCCCCCATAAAGGAAGGGATGGAAGAAGGGACACACGCAGCATGGGGACCAGCTGGGATCTGAGAAAGGCTGTGGGCTGCTTGATGGTGTATGTAGAGCCTGACTCTTGTTCCCGGGGAAGGTGTCTTCTCTCTCTCTCGCAGGGTTGGAGGGCGTTGCCAGTGTATGGGGGGTGGTGGTAGTGGACGGCTCTCTTGGGTGGGGTGTTGTTGGTCAATGTCAGGCTCTCTTCGTGGGGGAGGGTGGTGCTGCTCGGTGTCGGGGTCTATCCATGAGGGGGGAGCCAATTTTTGTGTTGCCTAGGGCAGCATGAAACCTAAATACACCCCTGTCCCCAATGCATTGATCTCGTTTGCAATGCTATACAGACCTGAATGCAAAAAATGCACTTTTTATTTTACCATTATTGGTGCCTTTATTACATTTTTTCAGTTAGGATGTGATTGCTACTGCCCCGGCAACAGAATGTCTCCTAAAAGACATGAGGGTAAAGTGTGAGTACATTTGGTCGTTCCTCCTGAATGAGGTAGGGCAAATTATGGATAAAAGTTCTGGTTTGTTTAAAAGAGCCCATGGCCTGTAGAAGAGCGCTTCTCAGAGGTAGTCAATGACAACTGCTCCCGACAGACAGACACTTATGCAGAACACTAGGAAACATTACACAGTAATGAATGCATTTTCTAATTGCAAGTACACAGGCTATGTATGTGACTGAAGGCCAAAATCCTTGTACAAAACATTCTGAACTGAAAAACTAATTGGAGCAACAAAATAAACAGCAGGGAAACAGTGTTGTATTTAAATTCAGGTACCACAACTGGAACCGCTGCTTGGACGCAGTGAAAAGCATGTCAATGCATTGATAATCAAAGAAAAGTGCACTGCAATGTGTGTGTAAAATCGCACAGCAATGCGCCTCATTGTGCAATTGGATGCATTTCCATTGCGTTTTAAGAAAAGCAGATCAGGCAAAAGAAAAAAAGACCCCAAAACCAAAATGCATAGGTATGAATGACCCACATGGGGTATTCCCAGGTTTGCATTGCTTAAAGGAGAAGTTTCAGCAGAAATAATAGCTTGTCCAGGGATTACCACATGCAGAACAATTTGACAGAAAAGCACTATGTTTTATTTCTTGTATTTCTGGCTGTGAACTCCACCCCTGTATGAAGCCCAATTTGTGGGCCTCCTTATGGGCAAGTTCCATCCTGCCACCCCCTCTATTATGAGCATAGGTATGAATGACCCAAATGGGGTATTCCCAGGTTTGTATTGCTTAACCCTCCTGGCGGTATTCCCGAGTGTAGCTCGGGGTAAAGTTTCAGTACCACAAGCGGTAACCCCGAGCTACACTCAGGGATCCATCCAGCACTTCCTTTGTCCTTCACTCCCGTGATGTCCCCCCTGCAGCGTCCCCGGCCATCTCCTCCAGCATCCGTCTTCCGTTCCCTGCGAGCGTCGGGACATATGGGGAACGGAACCGGCTGGAAATTTAAAAACGTTAAAAATGACATTCACTAAATACACTAAAATCTGATAGTATTCCATTACTGTATCAACCATTTCACATACATTTTGTCCCGAGTGCTTTGTCCGGCGCCCTGCCTGCATTTTTACTGTTCTTTCTGCCTGGAAACTGAGAAACGTCCATGGCGTCCAAAAAGCGTCCCTTTAGGTCAAAATCGGTTTTAGACCGGCTAGAGAACAGCGATAGTAAATCAGAACCACTTGCAGAATTGAGTGATAATGATTCGTGGGGGAAATTCCTCATCAGACACTGAAAACGATTCTGCGACTTTGCTCAGCGATGTGCGAACTTGGCGCTATATTTCAAATGTCAGTGTTTTTGGTTTGATTACATAAATTTATAAATTTTTTATGATATTATAATTTATGATTTTGTGTTTCAAATTTTATCATCCCCGGGATGTTTACTAGACTCTTGTTTGGACGGATTTCAGTGAGTTATTCCTAAAAATTACAGGCCTATAAAAACATATTTCCATGCAAAAAAGTACCGCTTTGAGCACAGAAATATGACATAATCAGACCGCTAGGGAGGTTAAAGGAGAAGTTTCTTAGGAGTAAAAGCTTGTCCAGGGGTTTGCCATATGCCAAACAATTTGACAGAAAATAACTTTTTTATTTCTTGTATTTCTGGCTGTGAACTCCACCCCTGTATGAAGCCCAATTTGTGGGTCTTCTTATGGGCAAGTTCCATCGTGTCACCCCCTCTATTATGAGCTCCCGCCGTCATACTTCTACACCCACCTCGCACTGCAAATCTTATATTTTCTTCCTCTTGTCCTTCACTGTATTCAGTTGCCTGCCAATGTTTTCTCTTCTCAAGCAGGCCGTTAGATCCACAATTAGGGGACCCAGTTTAACTGTTTGCTAGGACACAGACAGCCAGACCCCAGAGAATCACTGATTGCTAGGACGCAGGTGGCTGTTTCCCACAGCATCACTGGCTGCTAGGACGCAGGAGGCTAATAGCAAAGCATCATGGTTGTTATGATGCAAGCAGTCAAGCCACTTGCACCAGGAATACACATGATGCTGTGTGACTACACCACCTCAATCCTAGTAATCAACGAGCCTTTGCAGCCTGGCTGCTTGCATCCTAGCAACCAGTGTTGCTGTGTGTCCTAGCAGCCAACAAAGCTGGGTTTCTGAACTGTGGATCCAGCTAAGCCTGCTGGAAAAGCTGGCTGCATCATTACATTACATCGCGTTTATATAGCGCCAAAGGGTTTGCTCAGCGCAATAGAAAAGACAGAGGGGATAGAACAGGGGAAATGATGTCCCCTCCTCCAAGGAACGTTTCTGTTTCCCAAACCTAACGCTGTCACTCATAGCTTGTTAAAGGTTTCCTCTCCTTGCTATATGAGTGGTGCGAAAGCAATGAGTGGACCAGCGTCAACCATGATATCTCAACACGCTAGAGAGATGAGACTAAGTACTATATGCACTTTTCTAGCTGGTGGGCAGGAACAACAAAGAAAATGTGTAGTGATGCTTCTTCTTTAAGACAGTCCAGGCACTATTCTGCTAGTTTTAAAAAAAAAAAAAAACACAGCAAATGCTCTGTACAGGACCATATTACTGGCAGTGGTGGAAACATTCTTATAAGCACCATAACTGGAGCCCCAGAATGACTACTGATCATGTTAAAGGAATTAAAATAATACAATACAATAAAAAAAGTTGAAGAACCTGAAATGTCAAAAGGACAGTAAAATCAAAAAGGTAAAAAAAAAAGCCCTTTTAAAAGAATTCTGGCCTGCACCAAATATTCAAAAGGACAGTGTTTTTATATATATTATTTTTAAGATATATTTTTTTTTTTTTTTTTTTATATATTATTTTTTAGTTTTTATATATATATATATTTTAATATATATTATTTTTTTTTTATATATATATATTTTTAAGATATATATTAAAAAACAATATTATATATTTTTATATATATATTATTATATAGATTTTTTTTTTAATATATATATATATAATATTTATATATATATATATATATTATATATATATAAAATATATATAATTTTTTAATATATATATATTTTTAAGATATATATTAAAAACAAAAAAAAAAATATATATATATATATATATATATATATATATATATATATATATATATATATTTATTTATATATATATATATATTAAAATATATATGTACATTAAAAATTTGTTTGGTGAACCCTTACAAAAAGACAAAGAAACAGAAATTATGTTCAGCCAGTCTTGGGATTCATGGTCCCCTGGCAGGCAGGTGACAACACTATTTTCCGTTTAAGCTTTGCAGCTTCCTCTGTCTCCTGCCTGCTCACTAAACGGCAGTTCAGAAATGTGATGATGCTCTTCCATTGTACAGTGAGCGGGCACATGACACTGGAAGGCTGAAAACTGAAATAGAAAAAAAAAAGTGGTGTCACCAAATTGACAGTCAATACTCCGTATTTTTTCAATAAATGCAAAGCATTCTTTGATTGGACGAGGTGGAGAGCATGATGTCACAGCTCAACCTCATCCAATCAGAGAATGCGTTGCATCTGAGAAGATGCAAAGCATTCTCTGAATGGCACAGGACCTGGAAGCTAGTGGGAGATCGCTGGAGTAGCGGTGGTTACTTCAGTGATTTCCAGCTTCCAGAGGGATCCCACTGCTACAGTATACGCAGAGTTGCATTGATCCAAGCTGGATTAATGCAACCCAAATATTCATACCTGGAATTTCTTCTTTAAGTCACAGGTTCGGCTGAAGAATTACAAACCCGTTACTAAGTACAACAGTTCCAATATATATACCTGTATCTGTGTATTTAGTGGTTTATCCAGAGCTCTGCCCTAACACAATAATATGACTTAGAGAGGTTATTTTGTGTCTTTTTAAAAAAAAATGCCCCTGATGATCTTTACAGTTTAGCAGTAATAAGTCCTATGGTCTGAGACATGCATAACATGCAATGTATGAGTGCGGTCACTGTCAGTAGTACATGTATATACATAGATCACATATGTATAGGTCAAAGGGCTCAGGTCCATTCACATTATTCATGCTGCCCACGCTCTATTCCATCACGTGCTCCATGGGATGCTGGTTGTACATATCTCTTCACCAGCCGTAACATGTCTATCTGCAGGTCAATCTTCTTCTGTTCTGGCACTTTCTTCAAGTAAGGAATCAAAGATTGGACAAAGTTGTAATCTTCATCAGCCTCGTTGTCTCTTCTTTTCTTAAGACAGTCAAACCATGTCTATGATTTGGCTTTCAAAATCCCCCAAACCCTTCGCCCCTCCCTTGGTTTTCTTGGGCCGCGGCGTGTCAGATACTTGCGGAATACGTTCTGGTAGAGGGCTCTGGGGAGGCTCAGAGTCGCTGCCTTCGGAACTTGGGGCTATCTGCTGTGTCTGAAGCTTTCCCAGATGTACTAAAGTTCAGAAGAAAAAAAAAAAAAAAAACACATATTGCATTTTGTATTCGTAGCTTACATCTCCGTCCCCTAGGTTCACACATAAGCATTTTGCAGAAACGCAGTACAGTCCATTTAACATGATTTCCTATGGGACAGGTTCACATCTCCACGTTTTCACCCGGTGCACTTTTTGGATTAGGGACTTTTTTGTGAACTCCACCCCTGTATGAAGCCCAATTTGTGGGCCTTGAAAGGGCAAGTTCCATCCTGCCACCCCCTCTGTTATGAGCTCCCCGCCGTCATACTTCTACTCCCACCCTCAGGAGTAAAAGTTTGTCCAGGGGTTACCATATGCAAAACAATGACAGAAAATAACTTTTTTATTTCTTGTATTTCTGGCTGTGAACTCCACCCCTGTATGAAGCCCAATTTGTGGGCCTTGAAAGGGCAAGTTCCATCGTGTCACCCCCTCTATTATGAGCTCCCGCCGTCATACTTCTACACCCACCTCTCACTGCAAATCTTATTTTCTTCCTCTTGTCCTTCACTGTATTCAGTCGCCTGCCAATGTTTTCTCTTCTCAAGCAGGCTGTTAGATCCACAATTTGGGGATCCAGTTTAACTGTTTGCTAGGACACAGACAGCCAGACCCCAGAGAATCACTGATTGCTAGGACGCAGGTGGCTGTTTCCCACAGCATCACTGGCTGCTAGGACGCAGGAGGCTAATAGCAAAGCATCATGGTTGTTATGATGAAGGCAGTCAAGCCACTTGCACCAGGAATACACATGATGCTGTGTGACTACACCACCTCACTCAATCCTAGTAATCAACGAGCCTTTGCAGCCTGGCTGCTTGCATCCTAGCAACCAGTGTTGCTGTGTGTCCTAGCAGCCAACAAAGCTGGGTTTCTGAACTGTGGATCCAGCTGAGCCTGCTTGAAAAGCTAGAAAAGACAGAGGGGGGTGGAACAGGGGAAATGATGTCCCCTCCCCCAAGGACCATTTCTGTTTCCCAAAACTGAACGCTGTCACTCATAGCTTGTTAAAAGTTTCCTCTCCTTGCTATATATGAGTGGTGCCCTTTTTGAACGCAAAACATTGAGTTTTCTATAGACTTTAATGGAAACGCTGAAGAAAAGCATGTATTACGTTTTTGATGCATTTTGCTTTTAAAATCTGCCTAGCAACAAGAAAAAAAAATCAAAACGCGTCAAACATGCAGGTGCAAAAATGCAATGCAGAAATGGGTGAAATGCAACCTGCATAGGTGTGAACCTAGCCTTAGTAATTCCAAGCAGTGAAACAAACAGTAGTTCCCATACATATTCACAAACCAGCGGTGCTTCTAGACCCTGTACATAAGGGTGTCAAAAACTAGTGCTCAATGGGTGTTCCTCATGCCTGCCACTTTTATGATGATCGGAGCAGAAAACCTGTATGGTAGTGAATGACTCAATACACACACCGCTGGTATCACATGGGAGCAGAAGAACACGCATAGCCCATGTTTCTGGGGATTGCATTCTGCTGGAGGCCAAACCACTCCCACAAATGGGTGGGAACCAACCAGGGTGGGCAATGGAAGTAAAGGGCAAGAGCATAAAGGTTGCATTGCCACACTTTTTTTCTGAGCCACTGCACTCTGTGCCAGCTACCAGATCCATCATCTAGGGGTGATTGGCATAGGTCAGAATCCATTTTCCAAGTGCTTTATATGAGCACCTGTGCAAAAGGGGTTGAAATATAGAATACTCTGCAGCACCTGATAAAGTCATACTAACATATTTCAATGACTGCCCCAAAGAGAGCAACAAGGGTGTCCACCATGCCCCTTCCATTCAGACATACAAACCTCTGCAGGCATTAAAGCGGAGCTCCACCCAAAAGGGGAAGTTCCGCTTTAAAGATTGGTCCTCCGCTCCCCATTAAAGATTGGCACCTTTGGGGAGCGGGGGGGAACAGGTACCCGAATTTGACAGGTACCCGCTCCCACTTCCGCTGCGATCAGAAACGGAAGTTGTCCCCCCCTCCCAAAGTCTTGTGGGACACGTGACAGGTCATACGCAGTGGGTACCCGGCTGTAAAGCTGCAAGCTGTCACAGCCGGGTGATCACACTAAAGATGCCGTCCTCCTGGAATACAGGACGGCCGGTGAAACGGGGCTGCGGCGGGTTCGTGGGACAGGTAAGTGTCTGTTTTTTAAAAGTCAGCAGCTACAGTTTTTGTAGCTGCTGACTTTTAGTTTTTTACAAAGTGAGTGGAACTCGGCTTTAAGGAAGATGACAGCTAATAAATACTGTTCCCTGAAGAATGATCCATTTCCTTAGGGCTCATGCACACTACAGCTCAGAGAAGCCGCTCCTACAGAGTTTTTTGAGCATTTCTTTTTCTCTGCCTGGAAACTTCTCTCCATGTTAGCCAATGTACACTATAGGAATTTTCTGGATTACACAGGCAAAAACTACCCCCCCCCCCCCCCCCCCCCCCCCACTAAACTAGCATTTTGGAGAAGAGCGGTCAAGCAGAAAAGATGCGTAAGAGCGCAACAACTTGCAAAAGTGCGCAGAAACGCTTTTTTTTTTTAAATGAGCATTCAGCTTCCTTTGTTTTTCATATACATTGTTTAAAAAAATGCTGTCTATTCATTAGAAGCCCTGGAAGGTACAAGTTCTTGGTGGCTCTGCCTCCTATTGTTCTGCTACATGTGCTCAATGGCTAAAGACATTACCCAAATGAAGCTAATCACCGCCATGTAGCAATTTCCATAGCTGAGGGAGGCCGGGCATGAACTGCATGCTGACTGGTTGCAAACAAGGCGTTCCTGGGATCTCGTGGCTGCAGAGCTGACGAGTTGTCGGTGGTCTCAGATGGAGTATGGTGCAAAAGCAAAGGATGTGTCCAACAATGACGAATTGGCCTGTGTTGCAGCTGCATTCTGAATCATTAAAGCGGAGTTAAAGATGAAAAAAAAAAAAAGTCAGCAGCTACAAAAACTGTAACTACTGACTTTTAAAATACAAACACTTACCTGTCCCTCGGTCCAGCTGTGTCCTCACCATGGCTGGTTTCCCCGGCCATCTTCTCTCCCTGGGGCTGGCATCTTCAGTGTGGGCACCCGGCTGGGACAGCTTGTGGCTTCACAGCCAGGTGCTCTCTGCACATGTGCGAGAAGCGCTGCGCTTCCTGAATGGCCCTGTAGTCTTCTGGGACCTGTCACGTGTCCCAGAAGACTACGGAGGGGGGGGGGACAACTTCCACTTGCCTAGGCGATAGGACCGGAAGTGGGAGTGGGTATCTGTCACATTCGGGTACCCGCTCCCCAAAGATGCCAATCCTTAATGGGGAGCGGGGGGGACAGAGCATTAAAGCGGAACTTCCCCTTTTGGGTGGAACTCCGCTTTAAGATAACAGGATCCATGATGATTGCAGTAAAAAAAATGTAAATTTCGTTCTGCTCTCACTCAATCAAAATGGTGACTGGAACTAATTTTGAAATGCATTGTGGTCATTTCGGAGTGAAAAATGTGCGCAATAAAAACGTGCGTTTTTAGTGCAAGCTTCTTCAGGCTTTTCATTTGAGCTGCAGTGTGCATGAGCCCTTTCAGTAGCATAAATGAAAGTTGCCCCTTTATAGTCATGTGCCACTTACGATCTTCGCATTAACATGGGCTCCAGGAATGTCAGCTGATCATAGAACATGTAGCGTTTCCTTTTCGCAGGGGAAGAACCACCCCGGGCTTCTTTCTTTTGTAGGTGCAGCTCCCTCCGGAAGCAATCCTTCAGGGACCTCCATCGAGTCTGGATCTCTTTGGCTGTAAAGTAAAACCAAAAATCATTCAAACCTAGAAGCAGTAGAGTAGTAGATCAGCAGCAACACAGCGTGTGTGACACCCTTTTCCTGCTGGCAGCCAATCTGAAGTGTTATTAGCGAATTGTGGATGTAGCGCCATACCTCCTCTACTGCCACTGTCCCCTTTGTCTTTGCAGCACAATCCTACAACAAATTCTATGTATTTCTGCCTATAGTGTCAACCCATGCTATGCTAAAAAAAGAAAAAAAAAAACGGGCTCCTAACTTTTTCAGCTGGTTCCTAGATTCAAAGCAAATTTGTCAAGCCCTGGCCTAAGGATGCATGGGGCAGTCCCAAAGTAGGAGGTTGCCTCATGCTATTCGAACGGGCACACATGCACATGCACATTAGGAGCTGAGTGTGAAGAATCATAGGACCTGTAAGTCCCAAAGTAGGCCTCATGGTTGCCTCACATGCTATTTGAACGGGCACACATGCACATTAGGGGCTGAGCGTGAGGAATCATAGAACACGTGAGGAATCATTCCTGACACAGGGATCATAGAACATGCAAGTCCCAAAGAAGGAGGTTGCCTCATGCTATTCGAACAGGCACACATGCACATTAGGGGCTAAGCGTGAAGAATCATGGAACACGTATTCCTGACACAGGAGTGATAGGACATGCAAGTCCCAAAGTAGGAGGTTGCCGCATGCTTTTCGAATGGCCACACATACACATTAGGGGCTGAGCGTGAGGAATCCAGGACATGTAGCCCCAAAGTAGGAGGTTGCCTCCTCATGCTATTAGAATGGGCACACATGCACATTAGGGGCTGAGCGTGAAGAATCATGGAACACGTATTCCTGACACAGGAGTCATAGGACATGCAAGTCTCAAAGTAGGAGGTTGCCTCATGCTATTGAAATGGCACACATACACATTAGGGGCTGAGCGTGAAGAATCATGGAACACGTATTCCTGACACAGGAATCACAGGACATGTAAGTCCCAAAGTAGGAGGTTGCCTCATGCTATTGAAATGGCACACATACACATTAGGGGCTGAGCGGGAGGAATCAGGGACATGTAGCCCCAACGCAGGAGGTTACCTCATGCTATTAGAATGGTCACACATGCACATTAGGGGCTGAGCGTGAGGAATCCAGGACATGTAGCCCCAAAGTAGAGACTCACCTGAGCTGTTAAAGCGTGCACACATGCAGATCATGGGCCATGTAGTCCCATTGCAGGAGTTCATCTAATACTATTAGAGTGGACATGCATGCACAATTTGGGCTGGCAAAGAGGACTCATGGGACATGTAGTCCCAGCACAGGAAGTACCTGACGCTATGAGAGCAGGCAGAAATGCATGCACATTATGGGTTGGGTGTAAAGAACCAATGGACATGTAGGCCCAATGCAGAAGGTCACCTGATGTTTTTAGAATGAGCATGCATGTGCACTATGGGCGGGCTGCAAAGACTCATGGGACATGTAGTCCTGATGCAGCGCTCTCCAAACCAGAGGTTCTAGGAAGGGCCTCAAGATAAGAACTGGCAGCACAAATTTGTAAGTCTTTGGGCAAAATACTCCTAAACAGCCCAGCAATTGGTGGTGGTAACAGGGAGCTGAAGGGGAAATACTTCATACAGTCAATACCCCTACCAGTGTCATCACGGTGGCCACTCACAAGTGCCAGCCACCCTTCACCTAGTCATCTATCTCCACTCAGCATAAAGATACACGGTTATTTTTGTTCAAGCCTGAGGTGAGGTGTACAAAAACATACCAGCAAAGGTGAAAAAGTGCACTTAGGTGTGTCATATGCTCCCCTTCCGAAAAGGAAGGACCCTTTCCTGACCCTCCCCAGGGAGCAAGACTTCTGATGGGGTAAGGCACAGTCAGGTCCACCTAGACAACAGTCCTGGTGACCCCGCTCCTTGAGATTAGTCGAAGAGGACCAATGAGTACTTGGCAAGGGGCTCTCGGGAAGGGAGACCCTCATCAAGGCAGTGAAGGAAATAACCTAAGGGCCACACATCCTCCCCCTAGACTTCAGGGTCCGCTCCAACACACACCCTACAATCCACCTGAAAAAGACACATAGTCCAGGTGACACACACACGTAATAAATGGTTTATAATGTATCTACAGCCACTTTTTTTGGGGTAGGAAAGGGTTAGACCCCCTGTGACATTTATAGGGTCCCATTGGAGAGATTTACTCCATTTATCCTGAGGACCCTTCCCATGGGGACCGAAAGTGAAGGGAAAACCCAAAACGTTGAGTTCCTACAATGGGTGGCATCAACCACCACTGAGGACTTTCTTCACTCCTAAGACATTTCCACTCACTTCCTGTTGGGTCTTTTTATTACAGGAAGTGACGGGAAATCTCTCCCGACAAGTTTTAACCCGTCTTGCCCCCATCCAAAATAAAAATAAAAAATAATGCCAGCTTTGGGTGTAGTTAATGGTGACGGTCATGTATTCTGGATCTCCCAAGGTCTTGTAGGCCACCAGTTTCCATGGAGGTGGGAGGGGCGCGCGGCAATCAGGTACGGTTTTCTGGCCGGGTTAGGCCTTTGTCGGATTTGTGGATTTTTTTTTTTAAAATCTCCATAAGGTGAAGACGTTACAGTGGATATTTTTATGCGTCGCGCTCGTAGGCGCCGTGACGCAACATTCATGTATTTTACCCTTGCGGCACTTCTCCAGCTGGGTACACTCCTCCCAGCCCGGTACCCAGGACGGCGCAGATCTCCTCCCAGCAGCGCTGCTTCTTGGTGCGGTCGCTGTAGTCGTCCTCCTGCTGGTCGTACACCGACGGGCGTTTCTTCACCTCGCTGATCAGGAGGTCGGTGTCCACGATGAGGCGAGACGACTTCATCCCACGCACGGACTGACGCGGCTCATCGGCACCCTGCGGACTAGACGTGGTCTCCTGGTCGCCCTGGAAAGGTTGGTTGCTGCCGGTGGGCTGCGGCTCCACGCCACCGTTCCTGGCCATCAGCTGTTCAGCGCCACATGGCGCGCGGTTGACGCCGGACGGCTGCGCTTGCGATGCGTCGTCCACGGTTACAGATCCTTGTGGCCCCTCACTGTTTCCAAACAAAGAAGGGCCAGCGCCTAGGCCTGAGCTCTCATGCTGGGATGTGGCCATCCATAAAGCTTAAAGGGATATTCCGGCCCGGCCCCACAGGCGGCTCCTCGGCTCCAACACGTAATCCTAGGACACAATGAGCCCTATGCGCCCGGATTCCGCCCTCTGTCCGCCTTCCCTTCCCCCCCTCAATGGATGGAGATCGGTGACACAGCAAACGCGGCGCCTCTCCCCGGCCTACACCAACATGGCCGCCATTGATTGACCTCCTCATCCACCAATCTCCGGCCGGCATTCCGTGACGAAAGAGGGCGGGAGCCAATGGGAAAGCGATGTATTGAGACAGCAGTGACGTAGAAGGCCTGGCAGGCTGCAGTGTGTGTGAGGCGAGCGGCGAGCTGAGGAGACTGAGGTAATGGGGGCCCCGGGAATGGGACCTTCTGGGGGCCCCGGGGCGGGGGGTGAGGCTGGGATCTGGGGGTTGTGTGATGGGATTGTGCTGTGTGGGTGATCCTCGCTGCTCCCCATATACAGCCTGTGTGTGTATATATATATATATAGTGTCTGTAGGTCTCCTATGATCCTGGTAGAAAGTTCCAGAACATAAACCGTGAGTATGCTCCGTCTTCTAGGCCGCGTTCTGCGGAAACGCACGGAAAACGCAAGTCGCACTCATTCGCAGGCCTGGTTCACGCCTATGCGTCTCCAGATTTGTGAAAACGCACTGCAGTCCATATACGGTGACTTCCCATGGGCCGCGGTCACATCCGTGCGATTTCACGCGCGCCCTCAGTCCAATCGTTGAAGTCATTCGTCGCTCTGCATTGTTGGCTGGCTAGGGGGCAGTGTGGTGCACGGATCGGCGCTCCGGCCCGTCTCCTTGTTTGGTTTTGTACAAGCTTTATTGGAAGCGTAACAAAACATACACTTCCTTCGCTACAGTGTCAGGCGGGGTGGTGCTCGAGGTTGCAGCGCAGTTCAGACTGGAGCGCTGCGATAAAATGCGCTAATGTGAATGGGACACGTAGGAGACAACCGGTTCATGTGCGTCCCTGCGCTGACGGATGGGTTACCATGCAGTAGAACGTTTGTCGCCACATAGTGTGAATTGGCCCTCAACCGCTGCGGTGGGTTTTTTTTTTTTTTTTTCCAAAAGGTTCAGGGACTTTTTTTTTTTTTCTTTTGCCCGCAAAAAGATTGTGTTTTTGGTTCCATAGACTTCAATGGAAACATGTCAAAAAGACGCATGAAAAAACACCTTCTGGTGCGAAACAACACATTTTTCTGAGTGGCAACAGAACCCCCCCTTAGAAACAATAACACATCCCAAAGAAAACGCATGAAAAAACACCCTCTGGTACGTTTTCCTGCGTGGCAACAGAAACAGAAACCCCCCCTTAGAAACAATAACACATCCCAATGAAAATGCATGAAAAAAACACCTTCTGGTGCATTTTTCTGCGTGGCAACAGAAGCCGTGGATAGCCGCAACATCCTTCTCCTACTCCAGAGACTCTATGGGTGGTTAGACTCATCAAGAGCCCAAGAAAAGGATGCCGCGTAGCGTGATACTGCTTCAAAGGGTTTATTATCCAGTAACAGGTAACAACAAAAGAGTAAACAACCGGAAACCACTGACCATTTGTGTAGGTAAGATGGCCGCCGGACCTGCAAGGGGCCTTGGCGGCGTGACGTCACGGCGTTGTAGCTCCTCTCTGACGTGTTTCGTGTTCTAGCACATACTCGTAGGGGGTATTCTGACGGACGTTGCTGCTATCCACGGTTTATCCAGGGAGGAATCCATGCCAGGTTGTAGACGCACTATAAGATGATCCAGCTGACCTGAGAGGTTGTGTTCTCAAATGCGTAATGTTGTTGCGCATCTGGTGAGTGCGCAATTCTATTTGATTTTCACCAGAAGATTCAGAAAGGGATCACTCCTAACCTGAGATCTTGTATTAGGACTTCACGTCTACCAATTTATGTGGACTTTTTGGCACGTCACACACCATTATTCACTTTATTGAATGCATTGTCACTTTATATCATTATTATTATGATGTCACTCTAATGCAGCACTTTTCACTTTATATTGATGCTCTAATAATGATTCATATTGCGGGATACATTTTTTATTTATCCCACAAAAACATAAACGCATCAGGCACATCATTTGTATAGCATCCTGCACCCTGGCGGGCGCACTGGCATTCCTCGGATTCCTTATTGCAGCACAGTTGTCACCTCCAGCCCTGTGGGGGGGGGGGGGGGGGGTTGTTTTTTGGGGGTTTTCCTGATTGTGCTCACGGTTGGGCCTCTCTTCACCTCACTTTGCCATTCGCTTGTAACCCAGAGACACCTGTTACTGACATACTTGGTATGGCAGATTGCATTTTCACATTTAGCAGTGTCTGTTCCATCTCTCTGCAATGTGGCATGAATAAGTGGCCCGCCTACTGAGCAACGTACTTGGGTAGCGACCAACACCTAACATTGCTGGTTGCTTGGCTGTCTCTGGTGTCATGCGTGTTTTGGGCTCAACTTCTCAGCAAATGTGGGCTTCTACCACCAGAATATTAATTTGTTGTCTTTCACTTCTCCTTAGTAGTGACTGGCTGTAGGGGGTCCCCTGTCTGCTTCCTCCTCTCTGTGGTAGTGACCGGCTGTAGGGGGGTCCCCTGTCTGCTTCCAGCTCTCTGTGGTAGTGACTGGCTGTAGGGGGTCCCCTGTCTGCTTCCAGCTCTCTGTGATAGTGACTAGCTGTAGGGGGTCCCCTGTCTGCTTCCAGCTCTCTGTGATAGTGACTGGCTGTAGGGGGGTCCCCTGTCTGCTTCCAGCTCTCTGTGATAGTGACTGGCTGTAGGGGGTCCCCTGTCTGCTTCCACCTCTCTGTGATAGTGACTGGCTGTAGGGGGGTCCCCTGTCTGCTTCCACCTCTCTGTGATAGTGACTGGCTGTAGGGGGGTCCCCTGTCTGCTTCCACCTCTCTGTGATAGTGACTGGCTGTAGGGGGGTCCCCTGTCTGCTTCCACCTCTCTGTGTAGTAGCTGACTGGCTGTAGGGGGGTCCCCTGTCTGCTTCCTCCTCTCTGTTGTAGTGACTGGCTGTAGGGGGGTCCCCTGTCTGCTTCCTCCTCTCTGTTGTAGTGACTGGCTGTAGGGGGGTCCCCTGTCTGCTTCCCTCTCCTCTCTGTCTGTAGTGACTGGCTGCTGTAGGGGGGGGGTCCCCTGTCTGCTTCCACCTCTCTGTGATAGTGACTGGCTGTAGGGGGGTCCCCTGTCTGCTTCCACCTCTCTGTGATAGTGACTGGCTGTAGGGGGGTCCCCTGTCTGCTTCCTCCTCTCTGTGATAGTGACTGGCTGTAGGGGGGTCCCCTGTCTGATTCCTCCTCTCTGTGATAGTGACTGGCTGTACTGATTCCTCCTCTCTGTGTAGTGACTGGCTGTAGGGGGGTCCCCTGTCTGATTCCTCCTCTCTGTGGTAGTGACTGGCTGTAGGGGGTCCCCTGTCTGCTTCCTCCTCTCTGTGGTAGTGACTGGCTGTAGGGGGTCCCCTGTCTGTCTGCTTCCTCCTCTCTGTGGTAGTGACCTGGCTGTAGGGGGGGGGGTCGCCTGTCTGCTTCCTCCTCTCTGTGATAGTGACTGGCTGTAGGGGGTCCCCTGTCTGATTCCTCCTCTCTGTGGTAGTGACTGGCTGTAGGGGGTCCCCTGTCTGATTCCTCCTCTCTGTGGTAGTGACTGGCTGTAGGGGGTCCCCTGTCTGATTCCTCCTCTCTGTGGTAGTGACTGGCTGTAGGGGGGTCCCCTGTCTGCTTCCTCCTCTCTGTGATAGTGACTGGCTGTAGGGGGTCCCCTGTCTGATTCCTCCTCTCTGTGGTAGTGACTGGCTGTAGGGGGTCCCCTGTCTGATCCTCCTCCTCTCTGTGGTAGTGACTGGCTGTAGGGGGGTCCCCTGTCTGATTCCTCCTCTCTGTGGTAGTGACTGGCTGTAGGGGGGTCCCTGTCTGCTTCCTCCTCTCTGTGGTAGTGACTGGCTGTAGGGGGGTCCCTGTCTGCTTCCTCCTCTCTGTGGTAGTGACTGGCTGTAGGGGGGTCCCCTGTCTGCTTCCTCCTCTCTGTGTTATTGGGGGGGTGGGGAGCTTAAGAAATAAAACTAGTTTTAACCAGAGCATCTAAGGCCTGGTAAGCTGCAATATTTGAGATTTGTGCTCTTCGGCTTAGATAAATGATCATTGTTTGTTTATCTTCTTTCAGAATGTCGTCAGGAGCCTTGTTTCCGAGTCTGGTGCCCGGATCCCGTGGGTCCTCCAGCAAGTACCTGGTGGAATTTCGGGCTGGAAAGATGTCCTTGAAAGGCAGCACAGTGACCCCTGACAAAAGGAAGGGACTTGTATACATCCAGCAGACTGATGACTCCCTGATCCACTTCTGCTGGAAGGATAGAACATCTGGGAATGTGGAGGATGTAAGTTGTACCGGGGGGGGGGGGGGGGGGGGGGGGGGGGGGGGGGGGGGGGGGGGGGGGGGGGGGGGGGGGGGGGGGGGGGGGGGGGGGGGGGGGGGGGGGGGGGGCTTTGATCTTCTCCAATCAATAGTCTTCCCTCTCCTATGAAAGGTTGTGTGAAGCAGGTGCTGTGACTTCTATCAACAAGCAATTAAGCTGTGGCGGACGGTAGCAGAAAGCCGAGGCGTTTTAGAAAGTCACGCTGTGGCAGGCGGGTGTGCTGCCTTGTACCTTCTGCCACCAATATCATCTGTTACACTTTACAAGCTGCGACATTCACCCTCGTGTTCTCTTTCAGGATCTGATTATATTCCCAGATGATTGTGAGTTCAAGAGAGTGTCTCAGTGTACCACCGGGCGCGTCTATGTGCTGAAATTTAAGGCCGGCTCCAAGAGACTGTTTTTCTGGATGCAGGTCAGTCACTAGTATCCCTGTCATTTAAGTTCAAAGAGAATCTTGTCTAACTCTTATGTAGCCGTGTTACAGTTCTGTTATCGGTTTGTAAACATTGCAGCCCATACTGAGAAGAAAGTTCCTCCTTTTATTAAGTCTTCTTGCATAGCAAGGAACACTTCTTGTTATCTCACAAATATATTCTTATTATAGCCATATTTGCCACGCTAACTCCTCCCAGTTTTTACACTACAAAGACAAGTAATATATCAAAACGTGCGGATTGTTCCCGATCGGATTGCTGTTACTTTGTGGAACGTTTCGCCGAATCGTTCAAGAAATATCGCGTTTTTTGTGGCGAAATTTTCCCATAGGAATGCATTGAGCAGCAGAGCACAGCTAGAGTGTGCAAAGGAAAAATCAGAACATGATGTGTAAACTGCCATCACTCTGTCATTTTCAAGCCCACCTACACATATCTTATATCAAAACGTTCAGCTAACCCTACTGTCACTAAAAATGTTCACGGCTAGGACATACTCCTGATAGTTTTCACAATATGACCATTTGTTTGCACCTCACCCCTCCCATTGACTTTCATTGAAACTCCACTCTAGACACCAGAAATTTTAAGGGACGTTTTTAAACTGCGACTGTGCCTTCATTTTTTATCTTTCAGAGACATACTATACATCAAAATTTAGGTCTGGTTCTTGTGATTGTCACAATATAAACCTTTTCACAGTAGCATTTATACTTTTAAAACTACAAGCGTTTGAAGATGGCAATCGCCAGTGAAGTTGGCAAGTTGCAGCAGTGTGTTTAGAACACAGCTTCTCACATGCCTGACTGAGTGAGTTGCTATAGCAACCAAAGGTCACTCAAGAGTCAGATGAGTCACCAGGCTGGACTGTGAGATGCAAAATACAAGCTGAAAAGCATTTCTCCCTCTGTCAGGCTTGCAATGTGCACTGCTTACATTTCATGAATCATTTGGTAAGGGTTACTTGCAAGAACACTTTACACAATTTCCCCAGAAATTGTAGATTTTCTAGTTATTATTATTATACAAACTCATGCAGACTCCACCTCCGCAACATCGCCAAAATCCGCACGTTCCCCAGAAACCACTAAACAGCTCATCCACTCCCTCATCATATCACGACTCGACTACTGCAACTCCCTCCTCACTGGCCTGCCTCGCTGCTGGTTATGCCCACTTCAGTCGATCCTGAATACGGCTGCCAGACTCATTCACCTTTCCAACCGCTCCGTCTCCGCCACCCCCCCTCTGCCAATCCCTCCACTGGCTTCCGATTGCGCAACGGATCAAATTAAAAATCCTAACACTGACGTACAAAGCCGTCCACCATACTGCCCCGAACTACATCACTGACCTAATATCCAAGTACCGCCCAGCACGCACACTCCGCTCCTCACAAGACCTCCTTCTCTCTAGTTCCCTGGTCTCCTCCTCCCATGCCCACCTCCAGGACTTGTCCAGGGTGTCACCCATCCTCTGGAACTCCCTTCCCCAACCCATCAGATTATCACCTACTCTCCTCTCCTTTAGGCGCACCCTGAAAACCCACCTCTTCAGGGAAGCCTACCCCACCCCCTGCTAACTTGACCGACCTCCTCCACTCTTCCTACCACTCCATCCCCCACAGCTATCTCCTCCTGTGCCACCATCCCCTCCCGCCTAGATTGTAAGCTCCAAAGAGCAGGGCCCCTCGATCCCCTCATGTTTTGCATTGTATTGGTATTGTTCTGTCACATGTTCTGTCCCCCTTTGTAATGTACAGCGCTGAGCAAACTATTGGCGCTTTATAAATACTGTAATAATAATAATAATAATACAGGATTTATATCACGCCAACAGTTTGCGCAGCACTTTACAAAATGAAGGTAGACATTACAATTTGGTACAAGAGGAAACAGAGGGCCCGGCTCATTAGAGCTTACAATCTACGAATATCACGGATTATCATCTCTACCAGGGAAAGATTCTCAGGATGAAAGCTAGACCCGTTCTCTTCCCTGCACAATGTTCTATCAGAATGACGCCATCGTCTGGATGAAAGATGCATAGCATGCAGGGGACGGGTTGGGTCCAGAGGTGTACTTTGAGAGTGTTAGTAGGGGCCTTACATCCAATCTACTGAGTAAAGCAGACAAATGTCTGTTGTAATGTTGAAAAACAATACAGGCTGAGATGGGTGGGCTATTCCTACAAAGTCCGGGGAATGGATTGTTCCCTTTTGTAATGTTGGCACACAAAACTGTCATTGTGCAGCTGTATCTGGGTGATGACAATTCAATACTGCCCGTTATTTCTGCTTCATACATAAAATTCTTTTACGAAGAATTTATCAGTGTAGAAAATCCGGAGTCTCCGTCTCCTTATTTATGGTGCAGGTTGTGGGGCTCATATCCTATCTTCTCTCCCTAATGAGTCGCTGACACAGAACTAGTATACAGGAGGTTCCGCCTGTCAGACTTCACTGGCTTGCACACTTGCTCCAGACTCATTAGGTAGTGAAGCCAGCATGAAGGTGTCGTCCCCAGAACCTACATCCAGTCGGCACTGACAGCTCCTTACAGGTTTTGTTTAATGCTTCCCGTCCGCCCTATAGCAGAAATACTGCTACAGGGCGGTACAGGTGTGCAAAATTGTGTGTGTGTGTGTATATACGTGATTTTGCAGTTCCACGTAGGGGGTGTGCACCCTACCCGCGCTGCCATTCACGGCCGTGGTTGCCAATCACTGGGTCCTGGCCAGTAATTACTCGTGTGCACCCAGTGATTTCCGATCACCGACAGGGAGGAAGACTGTTAGTAAACAAACAAACAGTCCTCCTCCCTGTCTGCTCGGGCACACTGCTCAGTCATCCAGAGCAGTGTGCTTACAGTGAAACTTGCACGCACCGCCCCCTAGTAAAACACTCCCTGCACACAGTTAACCCTTTGATCGGCCCTCATGTTAACCCCTTCCTGCCCAGTGCCATTAGTACAGCGTCAGTGCTTTTTTTCTTTTTTTGACCACCGATCACTGTATTGGTGTCACTGGGGAAGTTCGTTCTCCAGTGACACCAACACAGTGATCAGTATTGGTGTCACTGGGGAAGTCCGTTCCCCCCCAGTCTCAGAATGTCTGCCGCAGACCCACTATAAGTCGCTGATTGCCACCATTTACTAGTTGCAAAGAAAAAAAATTCCAGTATGTATACCGCCATTTTTAAATGCTATAACTTTCATGTAAACCGACTAATTTACACATATTGAGATTATATTTTTTTTTTTTTTTTTTTTTTAGCAGACATGTAGCAGAATACATTTTGGTCTAAACTTGACTCAATTTTTGTTTTTTTTTTTGTTTTTTTGTTTTTTTTTTTTTTTTCTACTGGACACATTTTTTAATAGCAAGAAGTCAAAAAAATATTTTTTTTCTCAAAATTGTCAGGTTTTAATTTCCTTTTTTTTTTTTTTTTTTTTTTTCCTTTTTTATAGCGCAAACAATAAAAAAAACTGCACAGGCGATCAAATGCCACCGAAAGAAAGCTAAATTTGTGGGGAAAAAAGGACGTAAATTTAACTTGGGTGCAGCGTTGCATGACTGCGCAATTGGCAGTTAAAGTAACGCAGTGCCGTAACGCAAACCGTGGCCTGGTCAGGAAGGGGGAGAGGGGGGTAAATCCTCAGGAGGGCGAGGGGTTAAACTCTAAAATGCTCTTACAGAGGTCTGAAGTGGCCTGTGTTTGGGCAGCTTTGTTTATTGCCTCTTCACTGTAGTTCCTAATGGAGGCTTACGTCATATATGGTCCCTGCGGCCATCTTCTCTGAAGTCTTATGGCATGAGTAGGTGTGACGGGTGGGGGATGTGCACCCGCCTGACGCTCTGTCCTGCAAGCACTCCATAGTGATACATAAATCTAGATTGGCAGCACAAGTATATTGCCTTTTTTTTTTAGTTTACCAGTTTATTGATTCAAAGATGGCGCCTTTAAATATCTGCAGTTGGTCTTTGCTGTGTTGCACAGCGCTGTCTCCCTATCATGTTTCAGGCAATGGGAATTGAAGGGGGGGGGGGGGGGGGATGGGAAGAGCAGTGTGGCCATACCTTAAGATGAATGCAGGACACCGCAAGCTACAAGCTCTGAATATGTTCCCCTCCTGATGTATAGTGTAGCAAAGTTCAAATGAGAAACTCGTTAGGTCTTACTGTTCACATTTGTCTTTCCGCTGTAGAGTTCTGCTTGATGCAGATGAAGAATATTGTGTATTTTATTCCTTTCTAGGAACCCAAGACTGACAAGGATGAAGAGTACTGCCGCAAGGTGAACGAGTATCTCAATAACCCCCCCATGCCTGGAGCACTGGGTGGAAGCGGCAGTGGAGGCCATGAGCTTTCAGCCCTCGGAGGTGAATATCCCATTACATTTTATTTGTCCGCAAATATAGCCTGTCGTAGATCTCATCAACTATTTATTGGGGAGAAGATTACTTCCTTTTTGGCTGTATCCCCCTATGGAAGAATTCTCATTTCTGTCCTGGTTACACACCATACAGACCTCCCCATTGGGGACGCAGCAATAATCTCAGCCGGCGGTTTTCACTGTTCTTCCCTTTTTTTTTTTTTTTCTCCAGGAAAATAGCACATGATGCTGCTTTGTGTTTGCTTTGTGTTCCACTTCAATAAAACAAGGATCAGTATGTGTGTCAGGACATATGTGTATAATGATGGGGACCAGCTGGTGTCCCTTGTGTGACTGATTTAAAACCAGTTGTACATTGTAAGAACTGTTGGGGGTGTCTGTAACTATACTATGGATCAGAACGTCCATGTGACACCATGTTCTTAGAGAAAACACATGCCAAAGGAGCGGCATAAGAAGGCAAGGCTCATCTAATATTTTCTTCAGACGTGTTCAGGTTAGTAATGTGATTATATGGGGTTGAGCAGCCCTTGATGCAGAGAATGGCACTGAAGACATTGGCAATGTTCTCCTCATCCTTGTATATGAGTGCAGGACCCCTTGTGACATACTCCCTGGGGATGGACCTGGAACACCCTGCATTAAAGGGAGTGGGTGGAATGGGCCGTGTGGTTTGTTGACCACTCATACACATTGCAGAGTTGACTTTTTACCCCACCCAAGTCATTTTTTTATGCTGTGATGGTCTGCAAATAGAACGTTCTCCATATCAATCAATCAGACTTTAAGTTTAGAGCAGCCAGAACAATTTGTTTTTTTGTAGGTCTTTCACTCCCTTAAGTGATTCTAAAGGCTTTTTTAGTTATTTTTTTTATTAAAAAAAAAAAATACATGTATACTTACCTGTTGTGTGCAGTGGTTTTGCACAGAGCAGCCCAAATCCTCCTTCTCAGGTCTCCCGCCAGGCTCTCCTGGCCCCTCCCTCCTGTCGGGTGCCTCCACAGTAAGCAGCTTGCTATGGGGGCATCCGCTGCTCCACATCCATTCTCACACGGAGCCGCGGCTTGCCCCCCTATCTCACTGGCTATGATTGACAGTTGTGGGAGCCAATGGCTCCTGCTTCTGTCTCAGCCAATGAGAAGAGGGAGTCCCAGGATAGTTCAGACTCCAGTGCACATTGCTGGATTGAGAGGGAGCTTAGGTGAGTATTTGGGGGGGGGGATGCATGACGATAAAACACCTTGAGCCTTTACAACCACTTTACCTTAATGATCTGTCATAGTTCAGTACTGAATCAGGACTTGTTACATGGAGGAGGGGTGTACCTCTCTGCTAAGGAGACACATTGGGGTTTATTTACTAAAGCTGGAGAGTCCAAAATCAGACTCCCTTCTGCATAGAAACCAATCAGCTTCTAACCTCAGCTTGTTCAATGAAGCTTTGGCAATGAAACCTGGAAGCTGATTGGTTTCTATGCAGAAGGGAGTCTGATTTTGGACTCTCCAGCTTTAGTAAATAAACCCCATTGGGGCGGCTTTACTGAAGGGAAATAGATGGTGTAGGTGCACTCCCTTCCCCAGAGCTTAGTAAATGTGGTAAAGTTCTGCTGATCTCCAACATCCAATCGTACAAACACAAATGCTGTGTAATATTTCATTTTCCATCCGCCTGATTGGTTATTCTTTACAAAGTGAAACTTCACCAGATTAACTAAGCTCTGGGGAAAATGAGTGCTGCTGCCCTTGGAAAGTGCCCAGTCTATTTCCCTCTAGGAAATGCACCCCATTGTGGTCACTAACGCCTGTCTATTGCACTGTTACACATCCTCCTTACATTGCTCTGTGCCTGAGAAATGATTGATAGAAACTCGCTCTCTGTCTTGTCTCCTAGGAGAAGGAGGCCTGCAAAGCCTGCTGGGAAATATGAGCCATAACCAACTGATGCAGCTTATTGGGCCCACTGGTCTGGGGGGGCTTGGTAAGTATGCGGCTCTTTTTGCTCACCGGATTAGCACAATCTCTGCCCTCCTGTTCCCAATTGTTGTGACTGCAGAAAGTGCCAACACTGTGTGACAATTGATAATGCAAGTCCAGCGTTTGGACAGGATGATAGCTTCTTATCTGCAGGGATTCAGACGAGTTTGTTTTGTTTTGGCCCATGTAACAGAAAATAACAATAAAGAAAAAAAAAGTTATTTGCCCAACTTCAGCCATTAAAACTGAGCTCCACCAATCCGCCATAACATTATGACCACACACCTAATATTGAGTAGGTCCACCTTTTTTGCTGCCCTGAACCATCAAAGTCTGGACTGGACTCCACTAGACTTGCTGTGGTATCTGCTTCTGCCAGCTTGCCTCCTTCCCATAGTGCGTTTAGCTGGAGTACCCATCTCTGCTCCAGGTAAACCGCGCACAAGCACCCAGCCGTCCATATGATATAAAAGTAAACCTGATTCATCAGATGAGGCCACCATCTTCCATTGTTCTGAAGGTCATTGTATGTGCTTTTGACTTTGGACACGGGACAGCCCCATACACAACGAACTGCAATGCACCTGTCGAAATCGAGTACCCGCTCCAAAGCCTTCCCGCTATCCAAAGGTGCCATTTCCTCACGGGGAGCAGGGGACCAGTACTTAAAGTGGAACTTCTCCTTTTGGGTGGAGCTCTGCTTTGTGTTCCTTCTCTAAAAAGCTTGTGTACAGATGTAAGAACCAAAACGAAGGAGAATCCTGCACTAGGGAACAAGAGAAGTTTCCAGTAAATCTAGTCAAGTTAATCTGGTTGAAAATAAAGACACAAGTTCAACCAGTAGAATATGGGTTGCCTCTTAAGACAGGCGGAGCAGGGCTCTCTAGAACAGGGCTAGACAAATCCCAGGCACCAGGTCGAAATTGCATCCTGGCACCTGGGTTCACACACTGCCTCCCATAGACTTCATGCAGAAATTCCTGTCAATCGTAATCCAATATGAACACTTATCTCCGCATGTCACTCAACCACTTGTGAGTCTGGAACGCTCCGCTACAAACTCGCACGGGACCCTTTTCGTAATGGCACTCAAAACGCAATACCTTTTGGATCGCATCTGTGTGAACCCCCCCAATTGGAACACATGATATCTAGCCTGTCATGTGGATCTGAGAGTTTAAAAACGCATCCAGAATTGCATATGTATGAAATGGCGGCTCTATTCACACCTGGGCGTTTTGGGATCGTGGCAGAATTGCTGTGATTGTAGGTTCAGGTGCCATTCTTTTCTATGACGCCTAAAACGTGGTGCGATTATATTACATTTGTCGCATCACGTGAAGCTTGTTTTTTTTTTTTTTTTTTAACTGGCTCCTAGATTCAAAGGAAATGTTGTCAATCCCCGCTCTAGACAGGAACATAATGGTGTCCGTGTGGTTGTTATGATGGTGGGACCTTGAAATAATTGAGTTCACTTCATGGGAAAGCCACAAGAGAAACAGAGGCCATTTTGTAGCTGAGCTCCTATTACTGCAGGGGTGGTGGAGCCGGTTACATTGTACTTCTCCATTAGAGATCGAACGTTTGTGGGTCGGTTAGATCAGCTCTGTGTGGAATGATTTATTCCTTTTATCTGAGCTAACCTAATAAAATGGCTGATCTCAGGTGAAGTCTTGTCAGCTGATTGATATTTGCATTTCTGTGTTGGCAGGAAGTGTCAGTTATGTATACATTGACATTCTACATTCTCTCATAGGTGGTTTAGGAGCTCTGACAGGTCCAGGATTGGCCAGTCTATTGGGCAGTGGAGGTCCTACAACAAGCAGCTCTTCTTCCAGGTAAGATGAATATTTTCTCTACATTGACAGGACCACCATATTCATCATCTCAGGGGCCTGTGTATGTGGGCACAGTTCAGTGTACCTTGCCATGCGGTTCTCAGTCCTGGTCGTCATCTTCATCAGCAGATACAGGCCAGCTGGACCGGACCTATTGAGCGGTGTACACCTGTGTCTCTTCTTACCCTGCAGAAGTCTCTTGTGTAAACTGTGCTGCCCATGATATTCATCTACTTAATATTTAACAGCATATAAACGTATATATTATTTTTATTACACCCTGAATTATTGGGGAGCGCCAAACACCTTTTTGATTTGATAATATAGATAGAGCATTCCAGCTTAGTGATGGCTTTATCGTCAATGGAACATGTTTCCTCTACAGCTTTCATTTTATACAAGATTTCATTTTTAGTGTTTTTGTCCCGTAGTTCTCGCAGCCAGTCGGCAGCAGTGACTCCGTCATCCACTACGTCTTCCACAAGAACCACCACTACACCGGCTGCTCCAGCTTCAGCGCCTGCGGCAACGCCCAGCCCTGCGGTGAGCTCCAGCAATGGTGCCAGCGCTGCTACAAGCCCTACACAGCCCATCCAGCTAAGTGACCTGCAGAACATCCTAGCGACCATGAATGTGCCTGCCACAGCGGAAGGCGGCCCGCAAGGTAAGTGCTCCTGTGATGAGGACTGGGTTTCCCAGTGTACCAAAGCTTCCAAAATTTGTGTATTGGCATCTATAGCAGGCGGTCTGCTGATCTACTATACAAGGCTGACCCCGTCAGATAACAATATTATTATTATACAGGATTTATAAAGCGCCAATAGTTCGCTCAGCGCTGTACATTACAGAGGGGGACAGAACATGTGACAGAACAATACCAATACAATGCAAAACATGAGGGGATCGAGGGCCCTGCTCTTTTGAGCTTACAATATTCTACTTTTTTTGGAAACTCCTGTGGTATCTGGTAGATGAGAGATGAAGACTTTTAAGAGAAACTCTAAATGAGCAAAATACACTGTACATTTGCTGATTAATTCTACAATACACCTTCATCGGGTTAAAGTGGGTTGGTTAATGTCTTCCTTGCATATTGTGATGGATATCCTGGTGTTTGAACCTATGGTGTACTCCCATGACCAATCATATTCTAGTAGATTACCAGATTGGCCCTAGAGAGTGTGCACTTCTCATCTGTATTGGGAGACCATCAGCTCCTTTGGTTTCAGGGACTTGATGTGAGCCGTTTTATACACATCATGAAGTCCTGTGGAATATCAATGTAATAAAGATGAACCCTGTATCCTATGTCCTTCTCCTTTACCGTTCACAGTGGACCTGGCCAGTGTTCTCACTCCAGAAATAATGGCGCCCATCCTGGCTAACCCCGAAGTTCAGGAGAGATTAATGCCTTACCTCCCGTCTGGAGAGTCCTTGCCGCAAACAGCAGAGGAGATCCAGAACACACTTACCTCTCCTCAGTTTCAGCAGGTGAGTCATCGGTTCTGGAATGATCAGAGACTAACACTTCTTGTTGTTTTTTTTTTTTTTTTTTTTTTTTTTTTTTTTTTTTTTTTTTTTTGTGTGTGTGTGTGTTTTCTGTTTTTTTTAATTTTGGAATTTGGCGCTCAAAACCAGGTTACTAAGCATACATACGTGAACTTTAAAGCCCACCTCCAAGTGAAATTTCTGCAACCCCTATCATTAAAACTCTCTTCATTTTCATCATTTAGGCTCCATGTACATTAGCCTACCCTGCCCACCAGCTGCGGGAAAACTCAAATTGTGGCAACTGTGGTACCGCAATTTTGCTGCTTTTTTTCCCACGGTTGGCAGTCATTCCTATCCTGAACGCAATTTGTCCGTGTTAAGGAGAGGGAGGTTTAACCTCACCTAAAATGCAGCAGCTCCTAAACTCATGTACACAGACACATAGACTTTTATGGAGTTGGGTTTAGGAGCTTTGGCAAAGAAGACTCAATAATAAAAATTTCCATCCTAGGAAGTGCCCCATAGGAAGTTACCTGTCCTTCCTCCACTCTGGCCTGGACCATTGTCTAGACTTGAGTACCACCAAATTTCAGCCCTGGTCACTCATTCCTTCTGCCACCTGCACATTACACTCCACAATCCGCTCCATCCCTCAAGTGTCCCCCCTGCTTCCTCCATCCCCGCACACTGTACCCCACTCTGGCAGTTCAGTTCATTCTACAAACTCACCCATTCTGGTACAGGTCCACTTTTTTTTTTTTTTTTTTTTTTTTGTGTGTGACAACTTGATGGATTTACTTCGCCGTAATGGCTGCACTGTGTTCCATAATGACACTTCTCTGTTCCAGGCCCTGAGCATGTTCAGTGCAGCTCTTGCTTCCTGCCAGTTGGGACCGTTGATGAGCCAGTTTGGGCTGCCAGCAGAGGCCGTGGATGCAGCCAATAAAGGAGGTAAGACTAGCTGGATCAATAGGACTTCCTCTACTCATTTTACAGCATTGTGAGAGGTTTACTCCTACAGTAAAGTGAGTGTACTTTCCATTCCTTTCAGTGCTCACATTCTCTAGTATGCAAATACAGACTTCAGTTGCACTTTATTCATCCAAAACTGCACCTGAAGAACGCGCAACCATTTTTTATTTTTTACATATATAGTGAATCTGCTTTTAAGCGCTTTTTTGTTTTTTCTTCCTCCTCCACAGACATCGAGGCGTTTGCCAAGGCCATGCAGAACACTTCCTCTCAGAAAGAGAGAGACTCCAAAGAGAAGAAGGAGGAAGAAGAAGACATGAGTTTAGACTGAGGTCTGGGCTCCTCCTTGCTGCACAATGGAATGATATGCTTCAGCCTGGCTTTATACCCCCCACTTGTATGTCCTTTCCATGTTTAATAAACCGTTTTCTCTCTGCTGACCACGGCTCAGGACTGGCTCCATACCCACATGGAACATGGCCTTCCGGGCCTAGTGCCGTTCCTTCCTTCCGGGCCTAGTGCCGTTCCTTCCTTCCGGGCCTAGTGCCGTTCCTTCCTTCCGGGCCTAGTGCCGTTCCTTCCTTCCGGGCCTAGTGCCGTTCCTTCCTTCCGGGCCTAGTGCCGTTCCTTCCTTCCGGGCCTAGTGCCGTTTCCTTCCTTCCGGGGCCTAGTGCCGTTCCTTCCTTCCGGGCCTAGTGCCGTTCCTTCCTTCCGGGCCTAGTGCCGTTCCTTCCTTCCGGGCCTAGTGCCGTTCCTTCCTTCCGGGCCTAGTGCCGTTCCTTCCTTCCGGGCCTAGTGCCGTTCCTTCCTTCCGGGCCTAGTGCCGTTCCTTCCTTCCGGGCCTAGTGCCGTTCCTTCCGTCACCCTGTGTATACTTCCAGAGCTTTCTGTGACAAGAACTACACATGACACGGTCAAGAAAGTGTGTTTATTTTAGAGAGACAAATTGTACCATTTCATTCACACATCTCCATCAGGAAACTAAAATCGGCCGAGCGTTACCTTTTATTTTAGAAATAGAAAAATGTAATGGTTACTGTGGCCATGACGAGTTGAAAAGGCAGCCATTTTGTCACGCGCATTTCGTGTTCAGCAGCAATCCAGGTCACTGCTGAAAACTGCCTATAGGAGCTAGGGATGTCACCGAATTCTGGTAATGTCACTGACCCCTAATGGCTCCGCCCACAAGATGGCTGCATGTGTTGGAGATTTTTGCCTCTAAAAAATACATTGAAGTGTTAAGAGCGTGTTCTGTGTGCTTTAAACATTTATACACATGCATGTATACACAGACATTTAACATGTAAGTGCAGAGGTGAGATCGGTGACCGAAATAGACTTTAAATACACATATATAATATTTTATTACAAATATTTCACGCAGGACTACCACAGGAAGAACAAAAATCAGGGGACATGGTAATAAATATCTTCACAGGACTCTCTACCCACAAACTATTATATCCTAAGAAATGTACAGTATATATTGTAACGGGTACTTCAGAGGATGCCTGGGGCTCCGTCCTGCCAGTAGCAACCAGCTGGGTTACAGCCTTCACTTTCTATGCAGCTCTAGAAAACTCTCCATGCTGTGTTGGCGTCATGGAACATGGAAGGACAGACCTTTTATATATGTTAACCACTTGCCCTCCAGAGGATTTACAACCCCCACGTTACAGTGCTACTGGGTTACTGTTGACAATTGTGTGGTCATGCAATGCTCTACATACATTTACATTTTTATCCCCCCCCCCCCCCCCCCCCCCCCCAAATAACTTTTGATCATCTTTTTGTGCTTTAAACAAAAAGACTGTCCATTTTGAAAAAAATTCTATATTTTTTGCTTTAAAACATATTCATTAACATTAAAGCCAAACAGTATTCTGCTCCATGTCTTTGCTATTAAAATAAAGGGAAAAAGATATGTCCAAATCCATGTAAATGAATTAAGTGAAAGTTCTAGTGTCTACAAATGGTGTATGTACTGGAATGTTTTTGCTAGTAATGGGGGCGATCAGTGACTTATAGCGGGATTGTGGTGGGTGTTCTGGCACTGGGGGGGAGGAAACTGATGGCCACTGACATCCCCAATGACACTAATACAGTGATCAGTGCTAATAGAAAACACTGACACTGTACTGATGGCACTGGGCAGGAAGGGGTTAACTGTGCTGGTTTATGAGGGGGGTGTGCTGCTCTCTCTCTGCTGTGTAGGGAGATCATTGTTTACACATATCTCTCCCCTCTCAGCTTCTCCCAACGCCAAGAATTGCCAGCCCCAACCTAGGGATTGACATCCGCTGCAGCCAATGGCAGCACTGTGCCCTCTACCCATAACTACAAAATCACATAATTCTACACAGACTATAACATTTATAGGTAAAGTTGATCCAGGGAATATCCGATTGCCTCTCGGGGGATCAGGGAGGAATTTTTTTCTCTGCAGGAGCAAATTAGATTGTGCTTTACGGGGGGGGGGGGGGTGTTTACCTTCCTCTGGCTCATCTGTGGGTATAGGATTATAACTTTTTTTTTCTTCTATAGTTGTACTGGATGGACTTTTGTCTTTTTTCAGCCAGACAGACTAACTATATAAGTGATTTTGCACAAAGCGGCAGTCCTGTATCAGTTTATAGGTGGTTGGCAAGTGGTTAAGTAGTATGGATTATGGGGTATCGGGGCCCATGTGACACACCGCTCAATCATCCTTACACGTCTTTTGGCTCCATATTTCTAACACTATTAAAAACACGGCACCAAGACCTCTGAATAATCGTCCTAGAGATGTAACTGGCTCTGCTTTTACAGAACATGTTCTGGGGCTTTTTAAAATATATCCCAACAGCCTGAACCCCACCAGGGAGGGATGTGCTGTGATTGGATGGGAGGAATGAAGGTAGCGGCTGTGAAGCCCTGCCATTGGACCAAACCAGGATGGAGCACCTCCCACACTACTGTCTCCTCTGGACCACCAGTGAATATGCCGGCTGACATTTCTCGGGATCGGCACAATGCCAATAGAATAAAATATTGCCAATGCTGGAATTCAAAATAAAGTCTGAGGAAGATGCACATTATAACAACGAAGGAACAAGCTGCCTGCTCCCTCCTCTTTTTGGGGAATGACATTTCTAAATATATATAAGTGGTAAAAGCCTCATCTTACCAGGCTGGCCGATGGCTCACATGGTTAGTACACATGAGGGCAATTCCTTCTTTTGGAGACTGGGGTTTGAATCCCAGTGCTGGCTCAAGAGATTTCAGACCAGTCGGTGCTCCAGCATTGATGTTGCAGACTCTACTCACTGCAGAGACCTCCATAATAAGTGGACAGAAAAAGGTATATTTTCTAGAAGTCATCAGCAAGCTATAGAAGGTGGAAGCTATATAATATCATTCACAATAAATTGCTGTCTTTTGCTGGCTCCAATGCCATTAGCCATCCCCAACATTCAATGTGTGAAGTCAATGATCATTTTATTTACTAAGTATTGAATAACTAAGTATTGATTTACTATGTCTTGATGTTCAAAGGGCTGGCTGCTAAAAACCTAGTTGGAGCTTTTCTATGGCATAGAGGTTCAGCAGCCAACCTACAGCTTAGTAGGAATTTCAAAGTTGCTGGTTCAAATCCCAGCTAATCTATTTGGATTTGTAAGAGTTAGCGATCACATTTTGCTTAGTAAGTCTTGATTGAGCACATGGAGTTGCAAAGGCCTGGGTGGCTCAGGGGTTTATCACCCGGGCCATAGCCCAGAGGCAGTTTCTAAGCTGCAGGTTCGAATCTTGGTTTACCTTTTTGGATGTAATGACGTTATACTCCTGAAATAGAAGAATTAACACACAAGTCATTGAGCAGAGGCAAGTAGCTCAGAGGATAAGAGTGTTGACCCAGGGCGCTGTAGACCCGAGTTCAAATCCTTGAAGGTGCTTGTAGACCTCCAAAGGGCAAATACCTGAAAGCGCTGTAGACTCCAAGGGCAATACTGTGAAAGCACTGTAGACCCCGAGCTCAAATCCCTGAGTGAAAGCTTGGAGGCCATGGACAACCCACCAGTCTGCTCCAGTCCCAGGTGTCCCCACAGACCTGTAACATGTGTGGGCATCACATTAGGTTGTGGACACCCCCCTCCTTGGTCCACGGTCTGTGACATCACTGCAACATATATAAATACAATGGGCTGTCTTACCGGGGCAGCCCATTCAAAAAGCAGGGACTTAGGGTTTTCTTGGCCTCACCCATATATATATATATATATATATATATTTTCATTCCCACACAGCGCCTGAACCCTCCAATGGTGGGACAAGGTAGTGGGTCCGAAACATTTCCCCCACCTCACCATCAGGGGATTCAGGCACTGCACAGCACCTGGGACACACAAGGCCCTCCCTCAGAGGGATTTGAACTCAGGTCTCCAGCAGACCAGACCAAGCTCTGAGCCACCACCTTTGCTCAACCACCAAGGTGCTCTTGTTTCAGAAATACAAGGGAAAGAACAAACAGAAAAAAAAAAGTCAAACATAGTTATCCCCAGACCTACAGAACCCAGGTACAGCTCACATCCACTAGGCTACTGCCATCCCTTTATATATAAGGGGGCTGTCCATCCAATTTCAGAAGTACGTCAATTTCACATCGAAAATAACATACATCTCAAACCAGCTGCTGCCATGTCTCTTCCCCTTCTGGCCAGTCTCCTTCCCCTATTGTACCATAGAGTGGCTTTGTACACAGAGATGCCTGCTCCTGGTGTGGTACTTGGGATGAATGGCTAACGGCTGGAGTGTCCTGGAAACTAGACAGGATGGGAATGGCAACAACTGGGATTATTGAGCCAGGAATCAGTGCTACAGAAAATGGCCTACAGGTATGGCACTTCGCTACTCAGCATTTTATAAATGTGAATGGTTTGATATTAGCTACAGGGGCCCCTTGTCTGCATGGCCACTTTTATTAAAGAGGTCTCCTAAAGGTGACCTTAGCCTTTAAAGGGTGACACCACTTTTGTGGGACAAAATTAGAAAATTAAAAAATTCCCCGTGTCCATCTGGTGAGGAAAGGGGATGCCCTGTGACTGGGTGGGTGGGGAGGAATGCCTGGTGTCCAGGGGGGGTGAGGAGGGAAAGATGCCCTTTGACTGGGTGGGGGGTTGTCTGGTGTCCAGTGGGGTGAGGATGGAGGGATGCCCTGTGTTGGGGGGGAGGAAGGGATTCCACCTTGTGTTCATGTGGTGAGGAGGGGGATTCCCTGTGACTGGGTGGCTGGGGAGGAATGCCTGGTGTCCAGGGCGGGTGGGGGGGGCTGGTGTCCAGTGGGGTGAGGATGGAGGGATGCCCTGTGTTGGGGGGGGGAGGAAGGGATTCCCCCTTGTGTTCATGCGTTGAGGAGGGGGATGCCCTGTGACTGGGTGGGGGAAGGGATGCCTGATGTCCAGGGGGGTGAGGAGGGAGAGATGCCCTTTGACTGGGTGGGGGGGGGGGGGTGTCCAGTGGGGTGAGGATGGAGGGATGCCATGTGTTGGGGAAGGGGGGGGGATTCCCCCCTTGTGTCCATGCAGTGAGGAGGGGGGGGGGATGCCTTGTGACTGGGTGGGGGAAGGGATACCTGGTGTCCAGGGGGGTGAGGAGGGAGGGATGCCCTGTGTTCAGTGGGCAAGGTAGGTGGGAAAGAGGGATGCACTGTGATCACAGGGTGAGATGGCTGTGAATGAGGGGTTGGGAGGGAACAGAACATGCTGTGACCAAGGTTGAGGTTGGTGGGAAAGAGGGATGCACTGTGATCACAGGGTGAGATGGCTGTGAATGAGGGGTTGGGAGGGAACAGGAGGGGTTGGGAGGGGTTGCTGTGACCAAGGTTGAGGTTGGTGGGAAAGAGGGATGTGCTGTGACTAAGGGGTGAGGGTGTTGGCTGAATGAAAATGGTGTCTCTCCATTACTGGCCAAAGAGGTTCTGCAGCTTTTCTAACAGTGACAGAGTGACACCATGAAACGCCTTAATCTGCACTTTGTAGGATTGCTGTCACCAGTGACTGGATCTCACGTGTAACATGGGCCTTAGTGGTTCTGCACAGTGACTGCACTTCACTGCTCTAATCCTGGGTGGAGTGTGACCTGGCAGGAGACAGACCAATATTTCTCAGAGCTCTCATTAGGGTTCATGTATTCCGACTGTTCCCAGAGGTGATGAATTCTCACTGCAGACAATAACATTCTCACCTCCATACATGGATATAACCTTTAATAGCACAAACTGCTGGTGGGACCTGAGGACGGGTTTGGCAAAATGCCGCAATAGAGTTCCATCAGGCTAACCAGTTTTATCCCATTAGTTGCTAAAGCATGGAAGCCAATGACATTCCAGGAAAGATGACAATTACAAATTGTATTTTAAAGTCTGGACCAGCAATACAACAGAAACGTACAGAGAAACAATTACTGTCAGGTAAATGTTACAATAACTTAAATGTATCCTCACTAATACATAGCTTCCCTTACAGGTAGAACTTAAAGCCCAACTCCAGCCAAACATCATTTTGTTTTGTATAGAGGAGGGGGAAGGGTCAGAGCCTCTGTCAGATCTGTGAGCCGCTTCTCCCCATTTGGGGGGCTGGACAGAAATTTCCATTCTCTCTACCCAAAAAACCACTTGACTGGAGTTACACTTTAAATGTTTTAAAAGACAAACAGATCTCAAACTAATCTGATTACCGCACGGGAAAGAGTTCAATCACATTCAGAAAGTTTTCATGTTGATCATCCAAATCCAAAACTTTTTTTTTTTTGTACAGGATATGGTGAGGGGTTTTGAACCCCTGTCAGGTTTTTATTGCAGTCTGTGCCTGGGGCAGTTCACTGAAACTAAAGGAAAATTCAAAATGTTCAGCTTCCACTAGAACAGGAATAGAGGCAAAATGATCGAATTGTTCTGATGACAACGTTCAGAGGGATTTCCTCTCACTTCCTGTTGGGACTACAGGACAGGAAGTGAAGGGATATTCTTGGAAAGGGACACCGATGGCAAGGGGGGGAAATTACAGGTTTTACTCTTCCTGCTCTAACCAAAATAAAAAAAAAAACAAAGTTTTGGCTTTAGAGAAATGTTAAGCTCCCGAACACAAATAGTAAACCTGTCAGAGCCCATAATCAGTAACATCTACGAGCGAATACTTACAGCAATGTACAGGACTGATAGACTCGTGACAAGGCTGGCAAGTGATCAGTGGTGAAGCTCTGCCAGTAAAGATTACCACAGTGACCCCGGACAGGAAATGAGTCTCTAACAGTTACAGGAAGACCACAGGAGATCCAGTTGTAAGTAGGTGGGGAAGTGTTGTGAAGTCTGTGGAAGATGATTAGTTCTGTTGTCTAACCGCAAAGAAAGCACCCATGATTCTAGGAGATGGGGAAAGGCTAGAACAGGTCCTCTTTCCTCTCCTGTTACTGGCACAGTGTAGTGGTGTCTGCCCATTAGACGCTAGCAGTCACATGACAATTTGTCCTTTACTCAGAGCGCTGGACAGACGTTGACACCAGAAGATCCTGAGAACGTTCCAGACTTCGAGACGTTGGCAAGCTTTCGATTCATGCTGAGGTTTCTCATACAGCCATGGTATGGAGGTGATAAGACTTCTGAGCTGCGAAGTGTCGCTGAAAGAAGCGAGGGAAGGGAGATTCAAATGTCTGGGCATACAATGGCGGAACATAGGAAAATCACATCATTAATTACATCATAACACAACTCAGTGTAAGGACTTTCACCAATTGGAGAAGCTCAATACAAGTTTCGTTTTCCTAATCTATATATATGATTAAAAAAAAATTAGTAACCAATCTTTCTTAAAATTTGAGCATGGAGCGTGCCGTTAGTGTATGAAGGGCGGTACATAAGGAGTCGATGCGCAGACGTCCTTACCCTTCTGAAAAAGTCATAGGAAGTGACGAAACGCGTCAGGGACACGTGACGTCAGACGTATCGACATTGACCGGAAGTGCGATCGCGGCCATCTTGGAAGTGGGAACATGTGGCCAATGTTTCCCTGAATCTGTCCACACTTGTATCCCTGTGAGGAGGAGCTGTTTTCACCCAGATTCTATGTGAGTTACTAATAAAGGAGGATATGTTATAGACTATCTGTGACTGTGGATTTTCTTGAGAATGGAAGAAAAAACCCTAGCATTGGATAAAATCGTTCTGAGGAGAAATTAACCCAGAGTGGTGTCCTGCCTTGATGTTTTTGATAGAGGGTAATTACCCATCAGCATATGAGTTGGAGAGTGTTGTTTTGGGTTCAGGGGATCACTGAGATACACACTTGCAGTGTTAATTGGGAGTTGTTTTTACACATGGTGTTTTTGACACTTTTTTATATGAGTGTGTTACACTTATATCTATATTCACTATAGAATATTTGCATGTGTATAGAGTATACACATTTATAAAGGATTTTGCATGCTGTGTGGCACGTGTGTTGTATTATGTAAAAGGTATGACACTATGTCAAGTTTTTTTTTCTTTTTGAGGTGTACTGTCATCAGGATTTGCGGATATTGAGAAGGAGTGTTTGATGAAAGAAGAAAGAAAAGTATTATTTACACCTGTGGGGATTATTATATTTTTTTGGATTAATATTTTTTTGGATTATTATTTTTTTGAATTATTGATTATTTTTGTACTTTTTGAATTTTTGGACATTTGGGACAATTTTTTAATGGTTTTATATCTTTATGTGGGTTTATTTTATCTTTTTGCTTATTTTTCTGTTATTTATTTGTTTTAGGGAAAAGTTTCATTATCTTGTTCAATTAGCCTTCAAGGGTGGAGGTGGATAACTTTTTCTGGGTCACTATAGGGTGATTTGATGCTGTGTTTAAATATAAGTGATCTGCATGATGGCTCAAACTTTGTAGTGGCCTTTTATGCAGCAAAAAGAGTCCTCTTGCAAAGTGTTTGTGGAATACCCTTTCATAAAACGTAATGCGAGTCCTTGTGTGGCTCAGACACCGCATATAATGCAGCAACTACAAACGCACAATCCATTTACAGTACTTACCGGGAACTCCGCCCACAAACAGGGTCCCATGACTGTGGATGTGGGAGGACGGACTGACTCCCACCAAGTGGCTTCCTTCTGTGTCCACGTCCAGCTGGATGACATTACTGCCTTTGGTCACTGCAGAGGGGAGAGAGGAAAGGAGACACTGAACAGCCATACAGGGAGACCCAGGTGCTGTGTAGTACAAATTCCGCAATATCCCCTCTGTTCCACCAATCACAGCATATTTACAGGATGTGTAACACAGCTTGTCAATAAAGCTAGAATGTACTAGAAGTATAAAGCTAGAATGTACTAGAAGTACAGCACAGCATGTCAATAAAGCTAGAATGTACTAGACATACAGCACAGCATGTCAATAAAGCTAGAATATACTAGAAGTACAAAACAACTTGTCAATAAAGCTAGAATGTACTAGACATACAGCACAGCATGTCAAAAAAGCTAGAATGTACTAGACGTACAGCACAGCATGTCAATAAAGCTAGAATGTACTAGAAGTATAAAGCTAGAATGTACTAGAAGTACAGCACAGCATGTCAATAAAGCTAGAATGTACTAGAAGTACAACACAGCATGTCAATAAAGCTAGAATGTACTAGAAGTACAAAACAACTTGGCAATAAAGCTAGAATGTACTAGACGTACAGCACAGCATGTCAATAAAGCTAGAATATACTAGAAGTACAGCACAGCTTTTCAATAAAGCTAGAATGTACTAGAAGTACAACACAGCTTGTCAATAAAGCTAGAATGTACTAGAAACACAGCTTGTCAATAAAGCTAGAATGTACTAGAAGTACAACACAGCTTGTCAATAAAGCTAGAATGTACTAGAAGTACAACACAGCTTGTCAATAAAGCTAGAATGTACTAGAAGTACAACACAGCTTGTCAATAAAGCTAGAATGTACTAGAAGTACAACACAGCTTGTCAATAAAGCTAGAATGTACTAGAAGTACAACACAGCTTGTCAATAAAGCTAGAATGTACTAGAAGTACAACACAGCTTGTCAATAAAGCTAGAATGTACTAGAAGTACAGCACAGCTTGTCAATAAAGCTAGAATGTACTAGAAGTACAACACAGCTTGTCAATAAAGCTAGAATGTACTAGAGCAGGGGTCTCCAAACTTTTTTAAACAAAGGGCCGGTTTATGGACTTTAAGAGGGCCGGAGTGTGCCCAGTGGGGGTAGAAAATGTTTTGGACCCAGCATCAGTGAAAGTAAACATGGCCTCAGGGACGATGGTCAGTAGGGGGAAGAGTAGTGCCCCATCATTGATATTAATGGGAGGAATAGTACCACATAAATGTTATCAATAGTGCCCCATTGTTGGTGTCAGAGGGAGGAATATGGTTTCATATCATTGGGAGGAATAGTGCCCCAAGGGCCGGATAAAGACTAGCAAAGGGCCACATAAAGCCCACAGGCCGCAGTTTGGAGACCCCTGTACTAGAACAATGAGAAGGAAGATGTCAGCTATGTCATGGAACTGCAGCGCCCAATTATTCCTTTTCAGTCGCTGGTCAACTTTCCTAATGAGCTCCTCTGCGGAGTAAAATTTAGATGTGTCAATCCTCTAGCGCAGAAGATTGACCTCGGCTCTCTGTAGTTTACAACAAAAATCTCTCCCTCTTTGTGAATTCTATTCATACATTTTGCAAAGCCAGTAGTAGTCCTATGTTTCTGTTGAAGATGTTTTATAGTTTCTCCAAGCCGCCACTTCTTCATTTCCAATGAGCATCAAGTGAAGTAATTTACATACAGTGCAGTGAGGAATGCATAGACCTCTACACTGGGGAGATGAAACGACCGCTCTAGAATTGAATGGTCCAACATAGGAGGGGAAATTCTACAGGCCAGGACTCAGCAGTCTTCCTACACTTTGAGGAAGAGGGATATTCCTTCGGGGACAGTGATGTGAACACTTTGGACAGAGAGGACAACTGGTTCTCAAGAGGAGTAAAAGAGGCCACCTACATCAAAATGGAGCATGGGCCTTTGACACCACAAAGTTTTAACTCTACCCCGGCAATTTGACAACAATTCTCTCCTTCAGCCATATGAAATCGAAGGAATAACATGTGTAGCAGACTTCCTATCAGCAGGGGTGGGATTATACAACTAGAACAGGGTAGTTCCACAACTTTCACACCTCCCATCCTGTTCTTGGACAATCAACATCGACACATTCCATGACTGGATCAAGGTTCTACCTGTGTGTTTATAAATGTTGAGGTGTCTTCCTGAAACTCTTCAGAACTGAAAAGTGGCGCTGAGAAGCTTCAAAACTTCTCTGAGATTAAAAAATCTAGTTAAAGGTGACAACTAGATATATCATGACCTGGAGATAACCTGGAGATATTCCATGAGGAACCTTCACAGACATACATTTGCAATCTGAAACTTTGTAAATCTCCCCTTTCTCCTCCCATGGGCCTCAGTCTATACTGACCGGCTATGGTGTGCCACTGCCCGTCACACAGAGGCTGCTGCAGGTTCACCTCTGTGCTGTGTTTGCCTCGTTCATCCGTTAGAACTAGAGTGACCTGGAAAACAGAAAACAATAAAACGTCACACTGGAAAGCTGAAGCATGGAGGCTGACTGTTTCATGGGAATTGCTAGCTGCCTGCTTGCCATGCTGATCTTCTTCCTATAAATGTATAAATACATCAGTGGTTCATATAGTGAACTCGGTGTAGAGATACTCACCCTGAGGTCATCACAGAGGACAAGGGGGCACTCTTTACGTCTGGAGGAAAAGAGATTTAATCTCCAAATACGGAAAGGTTTCTTCACAGTGAGAGCTGTGAAAACGTTGAATAGACTCCCTCAGGAGTTGGTTCTGGCCAGCTCAGTGGATTGCTTTAAAAAAGTCCTGGATTCTTTCCTAGATACACAGAATATAACTGGATACTAACATTTATAGGTAAAGTTGATCCAGGGAATATCCGATTGACTCTCGGGAGATCAGGAAGGAACTGGATCATGCTTTGCTAGTTTTTTTTGCCTTCCTCTGTATCAACTGTGGGTGTAGGTTATAACTTTTTTTTAAGGTTGAACTGGATGGACTTTTGTCTTTTTTCAGGCAGACTAACTATGTAATTGCCTAACCTCTGTCAGGTAGGTCTCTATTGCCATCTCTGTCCTCACAGGGGAGATTTCTTCCCAGTTCCTGGCAAGCAAGGAGGGATGTGAGGCACAGACAATGATAAAACTGACAGGGGTGCTAACCATACCAGAGCTGTGTGCAAAACTAAAAACTGACTAGAGTTTCAATTCACTAGCGGTGTGGTTAGTATTTCACACAACAATTGCTTTTGTCATGGGACTGCACTAATAAAATATAATACCAATAAATGGAATACCTTTTTATCAGCTGCAGACACACTGATGGAGTTGCCATTCTCAGAGTGTATGTGGAATATAAGACCAAAGGGGTGCATGGGCCGCACCTCTAACTTCAGCTCCAGATCCGACCTCAGGTCAATCAGGTCCCCTGGGACACAGGAAAAGGTGTGTGAAACAAGTCTGACCACAAACAGAATGAAAAAAAAATATGACCTGAGCTGGTCAAAAGGCAAATACTAGACAGTTCTAAGAGAAAAAGAGACAGGCCATTAAAAATGAGTGTTTCTAGAATGGTTTCATATTGAAGGACACAATCACTTGGTTGTTCTTATACAGACTCTTAATGATCTCTTCCTCGCTGGAGGAGAGTTGCAGCATTCAGAGTGAGACTCTCTTTCCAGGATACTTCAAGGAAACATCCAGGCAAATGTTAATCCATTTATGTACCCATTGATAAATGTATCTTATATACACCTAGTGTAAGTACCTTCATGTGTCCAGATATTAGCCTTCTGCTATCCCCATACAACAGCCCTCAGACTGGGAGGGGAAAGGGCAGCACCAGAGGCCAATCAGGGTTCTGTTTGGTGCAATACTTGTTAGTTGGATGCTGAACATGCTTACAGGAGGGAAGAACACAGGGATGGCCTCATCATTGTAATGCTGATATCCCACTATCCAGACAGCAGTAGAGATGACTAAAGAGCAGCTTGGTAGGTAGTATTACAATGATTTCAGGGGGGAGGGGTGCAGCTATAAAGGTAAGATAGGACCAGGGGCAGACTGACCATTTGGGAACTCAGGCACTGCCCGGGGTCAGTAGGGGGCCCCATGAGATGCCCCTGGTACCTTTCATAGGCTTTTTTTGGGTGTGGTTTGAGTGTGGGCGAGGGCACAGGGGACCCATGATCCCCTCTTGCCCGGGGGCCCCATGAGTTGTCAGTCCGCCCCTGGATAGGACAGATATTAGAGGGAATATAACTAAGGTCTTGGGATTATCATTTTTGCCTTGACATCCACAAAACAAAAGGATCTCATTGAACTCTATAACTCTTGACATGTGTCCAAACATTGTGTTAACAAGAATCCACAATTTTACATTATTTTTATTTTTACATAAAGTTTTCAGCTCATGCCTTTAATTGCAGAAATAATGGGTTCCTTTACAATTCAATAATTAAAGGTATGTGCTGGCAACCTTGATCTGAACAGGTCTCTATAAATGAGCTTCTAGAAAACACTATACAGTATACCCAATCTGAGGAATCCTCCATCCGAGAAGAACAATCCAGATTCTGTGAACCCTTCAAAGCAAGGAGTGACCCCCACAACTCTCCCTGGAGCACCCATGGCTTTCCCATTCATCTTCAGATCTCTCAGGCAGCCCCGGAAACCATTCAGTGCACCGTCCTGAAACAGATGGAAATGGAAACGTCACGAAAAAGACAGCTAATCTAAATATGGAAAATCACACTATTTTGGTGCTTAATATTTGAATACTTGAAGAGCCCCATAATATAATATTAACAATTTTCATCCATAGTGTCCTTTATCCATTACTTACCATGCTGTCTGGAAGGTTTCTCAGTGCAGGGACTCCTCCAACATATACTGGACTGGTCAAAGACAAGGTGGATCCCAAGCGTATGACGACTGTCTGCGCTTTCAGGCCATCGATGACCAGACGGAGCTTGTTCTTCTCTTTCCCAAAGAAAACCTAATGTACAAAAATGATAAACAGACGTGACCTTAAAACTTGCTTCTGCTTACAGATACAGAATCATTGGTGTCACCATGGGCTGCACAGTTCCTGGCTCATGTTCCATTCAAAGCAATGTATACCTGCTTCACTCCCATTCAATCCTCCACTCTCCCAACCACATAGGTATCTCCCCCTAACAGGAATCAATGACTGGAGACCCTGTCTGAGCTGTGCAATGTCCAGCCACTCTCCGGCAGTAATACTTTCTAAGGCACTGACTTTCTATTCCATATGCTTGTTCTGGGTTGGTGACTCAAAGTTGATGGTGAAGCATCTAGTACTTCTTAAAAAAGATCAACAGTGGTAGTCCCCATGCGTTTCTTACTAAAGTTTCCTTTGAGAGAGACTCAGAGCCAAACAGTATGGATAGATAGGTCTATATGGGACAGACAGGTGAGTATGATATTACCAATAGGTCTCTCTTTGTGATGAGTCAAATAGATCCAGTTTGCACCCAGCCATTCCAGTCTCCCTGGAGTGTTTGCGGTAAAAGGGGTACAGAATGGGAAAAGGAACAATAGGTGGAAGTGATTGATACAGACTGGATTGTGTTTGGAACATATCGGTGGAACTGCTCGACACAGCTGGATTTAAAAAATGGGAAGGGGTAAAGCTATGTAACATATTTATGTGTCCCCTGTAGCAAAAATGTTTACATGGACTGCTGCAAGGTGTCACCTGAGGTGAAATGGACATTTTGGCTTATGGAAAAGACTACTTTAAAATTGTATAATATATAACTGCACAAAAAGGAATCCTCATACCGTGTGCCAGAGCCCATCTGTGTATTTGTCTTTACTCTTCAGTCGATGAATCCTTCCATCAATGTTCATCAGGATCACAAACCTGGCATGTAAAACTTGGAGAGACATAGAAGAGGTTCCTTGTTCATTGGCAACATAAAAGAGAAGCCCATTTGAGGCGTTCAGCCGAACTTCCATTGAAAAGGAGAACCTATGAGACACAAATATAGAAGAACTTGTTACACATGGATGAGTCCTTGTAGATCAATAATCTGATGTTACCACTCAATATCTTTTCTCTTCCTGTCTGGACACTGGCTGGGTACACACTTCTCACAAGTAAGAAGTCAACCGAAATCTAAAAAATACTTTTTTCTCTTTCTGCTAACTTCTATGTACAGCATCATAACAGCCATTTCTTAGATTTCGGTTGACCTCTTGAGAGGTGTGTACCCAGCCAGTGTCCAGACAGACGTAAGCAGACGTAATGGTGCACCTTCACCAGAACATGCAGAACTTCGATTTAAGAAGCAGGGGCGGACTGACCGTTCGAGCACTCGGGCACTGCCTGAGGGCCGGGGTCAGTAGGGGGCCCTATGAAATGCCCCTGGTACCTTTTATAGGCTTTTTTGGGTGTGCTTTGAGTGTGGGCAAGGACACAGGGGCCCCATGATCCCCTATTGCCGGGGGCCCCATGAAATGCCCCTGGTACCTTTTATAGCCTTTTTTTGGGTGTGCTTTGAGTGTGGGCAAGGACACAGGGGCCCCATGATCCCCTATTGCTGGGGGCCCCATGAGTTGTCAGTCCGCCCCTGGTAAGAAGTTCACTGTAACAATACAACTCCATCATCATATTTTCCTGAATAATCTGTTTCCTGTGATGTCACCATAGTTTATTGATTATTCACCTTTCTTGGCGGAAGTCAGGAAGATCTGTAAATTCCAGATGGCTGGAAGAGGAACCTCCAAATTGGAATGCCCCTTTGACAGTTTTGGGAAGCATGCATGATGAATTGAGCTGATTCTGGTGATGCATTAAGGCCAGCTTCCTCTGTCGAGCCTGCTAACATGAACAACATATCAGCATGTTAACCAACATACATACAGTACATAACAGACATTAGTAACATTCAGCAAACAAACTATCCTCATGGTGCCTAGGAACCCCTTACCTTCATTTTCAGTTTATCCTTCTTTAGCAGAGCTCGAATCTCTTGTGGACGTTGCTCTGTCGCCTCCTGGCAGCTCATTGTTACATTCATGCTACGTAGATTCTGTTGCAGATCTAGAACCATCTGAGGTCCAGTAATACTAGAGCCAAAGAGAACATAGGGATCAGCATATTAGATCAGGTCCTGAATGGACTATTGATAAATGGAATATTGGAAAACGGTGGAAGGAGATGCCCATCGTGGCCATATCTCACCTTTTCACAAAGACGTTACTGATGCAGCCGCTCAGGTTTCCAGGTAAACCACTATCAGGCGCACCACCAAGGAGTAGGCCAATACCTGCCGCATCCTGCCGCCTCCTCCTGCTGCCGTCTGACAACCGACGACTCCCTTGTAGTTGGTCATCTATGTAAAGCCGCACCCTGCACAGTGGTAATGGGTTTTGATAACCATGACATTTACTGTAATGCCCGCACATACATTCAGCATCAAAACCTCCCCCTTCAATCTAGAAAAGTGAACCTGTTGGGTTTTCCAGCCCTACTTCCCCTAAAGTGAACCCAACATACATACAGACATGTATGAACTGTGCTTCTGCCATCAGAGCCCCGGCAGCCCCTCTCCCCGCCTCAATAAGTCAGACCTATTACATTGCAATGCCGTGTATTTCTTGCACCAGTTTCAAGAGCCTTTTATAAACTTACTCCTTTTTATTGCTGTAAAGAGACAAGTAGTGTCCCACTCCATCGGAATACGGTGCTCTAGAGGTGAGTTCTGTGGAGAGGAGCTTCACTAAGAGATGTCCATCCTGCACTGACACCTGACAGGATCCCTCCTGGAAAGAGAGATGACAGGACAGGGCAGGGTTCAATATAAGTGTTTTTCAGATTATATTTGGAAAGTTACACATTTCTGAATGCTTAATGGACAGGCGATTATCAGTTGCAGGATAGGTGACTTTACCATTAGAGTACGGAGAGATTCTTTACTGTAACAGTGCCTAAAGTGTGAAATTATTATACAGGATTTATATAGCGCCAACAGTTCTCTAACACATAAATGAAGTGGCAAAATAATAACTTAAAAACAGACTGAGCATTCTTCTTACAATGAATTCCCCCTCCCCCCATTTCAATTACTAAGTATGAAAACATCTTTATCTAGGAACTATTATAACTGTCTTTTCTTTAGGGTTGGGAAGACTTTTTTGTCCCCACAGCTGCTCAGGGACAGGATTGGGGTGTTGTTTGCCATCCATAACTGCTGGAATTCCTGAAGGGCAGAACTTAACGGACACATCTGTGTTCAACATAGTAAAATATGTAACTTTATATTGAGTTAGCCAGCACCACGTGAAAGGGGAAATCAGTCTTACAATGAGAGAAGCCCTGTGGTCAGGTTATGGTGGATGGAGGAGGTAGCGGGTAGAATTACAGAGGTAAGTTAGCTCAAGGTGGATGGGTGTCATCAGTGTGCAGGGGCGTCCCTAGGTTGGTGTCACCCGGTGCGGTAACACTTGGTGACACCCCCTCCGCAGGATGGATCGGATCTGCGGATTGAGCATAATGGATTGGACTCCGATCCATTATGCTAAATCCGCAGATCCGATGCATCCTGCGGGGATTGTCGGATTTCTTTACAACTTACCTTTTTGTGGAGCGGATCCGGTGTCACCCCATGCGGTCGGTGTCACCCCGTGCGGGCTGCTCTCCCCACACCAGCCTTGGGATGCCCCTGTCAGTGTGTTAATAGTGACTAGTAAGAACGGTTGTAAAGAGGTTCTAGGGGTTTTTTTTTTACCGTCATGCCATTCTATGTATGAAGATAAAAAACCTTCTGTGTCCAACCCAGCCCCCCCCAATACTTATCTGAGCCACATCGAGATCCAGCGATGTGCACGAGAGCCTCAGCTCTTTGGAGACTCTCCCTCCTCATTGGAATGGACATGCAAAGCACTGGCTCAGGAGTGAGCATGCTTGGGTGCCGCCATAGCAAGCTGCTTGCTCTTGGGGCACTTGGTAGGAGGGAGGGGCCAGAAGTGCCATTGGGAGATGCATAAAAAAGAGGATCGGGGTTGCTCTGTGTAAAACAACTGCACAGAGCAGGTAAGTATGACATGTTTGTTAATTTTTTTTTAATGCCTTTAATATCACTTTAAAAGAAGCAGCTACTTGGAGCAGAACTACAAAGGTTTGCAAATGTTTTCCCCCTGCTAATGTTCTGCAGCAATACAGTACAATAGGGGTGGGTGGTCATACAAATGCATGTAAGTTATTTCACAAATCTTTGTGCAGGTCCAAGGCACCAGTTACTTTGCTGGAGTTGCCTTTCTACATCTGCTGAAATAATTGCAGTATTTTGAAAGTTTATTCAATATGTACATACCTCACTGGACTGGTGATACATCAGTCCATTGTGCTGGCTGGTCTGGAACCCAAAACCTGCAGCAAAGTCATCCTGGAAACTGGGCACATGCTTCAGGTTCACATTGAGGAAGCCATGTCCATGGAACTGCACCGACCTGGCGATCTGTCATTAACAAGAGACACAGTGAACAAAAACTGCATTATCTTGAGCCCAGCCATCTAATCCCACCATTGTTATGGGGTTATATTAGAATAGGAAATATTCAATAGCAATGATGGGACTTTCAGGGTGCATGAACATGAATACCACACATATTAAAAAGTTATATAATTTTTATTTCGTATTTTTGTAAAAAAACACAAGAAAGGAAAAAATACAGAAACATAAAAACAATTTCAGTACTAAGAGTACTAAGAAGTTGTTTGGTAATTGTATAATTCTCCTTTGATATACCTTTAGACTGCCTCGGCGGTTGAAATTTCTTCAAAAAATCTCCCCTGAAGAAGCCCATGAGGACGAAACATGTAGGGAGTAACTACAATTACATAACCAAGTTTGAATCTCTCTTTTACTCTTAGTACTGAAATGGTTTTTATGTTTCTGTATTTTTTACCTTTCTTGTGTTTTTTACAAAAATACAATATTAAAAATTATATAACTTTCTCTAATATGTTTGGTATTCATGTTCATGCACCCTGAAAGTCCCATCTTCTCTATTGAATATTTACAATTTTAAGGGATGTGGTGCAATAATCATATCTGGTCACCCGCTCGCCACTTCACTATAGGGTTTATATACAGAGCAATCAAGGGATGCAGAGAATGGCAAATCATAACAGCTAGATCCCAGTCTACTGAAGTTTAACCAAGAGAAGATGGAAGTAGATTGGTTATTAGGAGTCCCTACAGAAGGCATGCCATGCTGGCACTGCATTATCATGAAATAGGTCCCCGGGATGTCACTTACCAGCAGGTCTGTGGTGCAGCCATAGCTGACACCAGTTGTATTCATACGCTTTAAGTCCACGTATTTGCCTAATGCTTTGAGCCCCTTCATACAGCCTCTGATGGACCCTCCGGTTGGGAAAAAATCCTTTAAACTGCCAGAAAATAAAGAGATACAGTTAATGAAATGCTTCTGCAGATCATGGGGCCTTCTGGGGATCTACAGTAGGATGATGCTGCGCTAATCCTCCTTATTTAGAAATTCTCAGGTCTGCTTTGATCAATAAACCAATTTCCTCAATTTTTTACTCTGTTTTAAAGCAAGTACAATAACTCTCACTGGGCTCATGCTGTGATGCAGACCCCATGCTGACCCCCTCCTACCAGGCTGTGAGCTGCTGTTTTCAAGACATGTTGCCTCAGGCAATACTCTCAGACTAAAGATCACAGTATAAAGTCCCACAGCCGCTCACAGCACTGGTCATCTAATGGTGCGCTGTCACAGGGTCAAGATTACACATTATAGGTGACAAGTCAGCATGGGGAGCCAAGAACCCTCTAATGAAACCACTTTAAGGTCATGAAATGGAAGTAGGGTATCGCCCAGAGTGCTGTGAAATCGATGTCAACTCATCCAGTGTGATATAAATGATTCAGACTTTCCCACCGAGCCTTATCTATCAGAGTTTGTGAACCCTTTCAGACAGGCGCTGATGTGTGCAGTAGCAAACCCAATCTTTTGGAGTGATGTGGAAGAGCAAAAGTAGAATCTGATTGGTTGATATGGGCAGCACAGACTGTCAATGGCAGGTCTTCCTTAGGAAATATGGCCAGCTGTGTCTGCTCTAAACACCATTGTAAATTAAAGTTAGAAGAGTCCAATTGTTCATTATGGTGGATGCTGGTGTGAGTGCTCACTCATGCTTGGCTAAGCACTGGATGCTACTAGAAAGCTCCATGCCTTTCCAAAGCCAGATTATCTCAGACCTGAGAGACTGCACACCTCATCCAAATAATACAAAGTGTGCAAAAGTCCAACACCTCAGGCTCTTCCAAGGCTCACCCAGAAGAATCAACCAAAGAACCCGCTTCACCTGCCATTTTGAAATTATTATATTCCTTTAATTCTCCTTGTGTGCATCAAAACAAATCCATGAACCGTATGACCTTAACAGCACTGCACATTAACAAGTACAACATTTCCAGTCCATCCTGACCTTTCCTCAAGTAGAAGCTGCACCTTCTTGATGAAAGGCATAAGATGGAATACGGTAAATGCAAACTGACAAGTGAAGTCCCCAGTGCTGCATCTTTGGAGGATGTTCCTGAAGCCAGAGCATAGCCAAGTATCTGCATCTATCATACAGGAGAAGTGAAACCATCTACATGCTTCTTCCAAGAAACAGAACGCACAACCTTGGGAGGATTGTCACAAAGCTCATAAACACAAAGCCAAACAGAACCAAACTGAAGGAGCACAAACTCAACGATGTAAACGTGAAAATTCCCCCTTACATGGTAAAGCTCTAAAGTTTGTTTTACAATCAAAGTCCAGATTTACCCTCACTTCCTGCTCTGGGGTCCCCCTGTCATTCAGTGACAAATACAGCATCAACTAGTCATCCACATACTACCCAGAATTAGAAAACAAGATGTTTGCTGTTGGGCTTTATGTTGCCTTTACAGTATAGATGATTAAATGTTGAGGGCCTATTAATAGTAGTCAGGGGCGGACTGACCATTTGGAAACTCGGTCACTGCCCGAGGGCCCGAGGTGAGTAGGGGGCCCCATGAGATGCCCCTGGTACCTTTTTCATAGGCTTTTTTGAGTTTGGGCAAGGACACAGGGGCCCCATGATCCCCTATTGCCCGGGGGCCCCATGAGTTGTCAGTCCGCCCCTGATAGTAGTATAATCTAAGTTGAGGGTCTGATTCACACTCACCTTTCCGGGATCTTCTCTGATGGAAGACCTCCAAGGTAGAAGTATTGGGAGGTCTCTAAATTGCCTCCATCATACTCCACTGTGTAAACAGTCGTTCTCTCCAAGCGTACAAAGATTTTTTTCTTAAAGGCCAAGATAACTTGTATCTGCAAGAGAAGCCCCACCATGGTATTAGCAGATAAAACATCAGATATTCCCATTGTACAGCCAACAGAAAACTCTCAAATTTTTCAGATCATTTTAAGGGACATCTTACCGCTTTGGTGCTGGAACTGCTTACAAACAGCTGGGTGGATTCCATGGACTTGGCTTTCTCTGTGCCACTTCCAACATTGTAATAAAGGGTTAATTTCCCCTCCTGAGCCGCAAGGCATAAAAATTGGTCCTAAAAGAATCAAAAAAAGAAATATCTTAAAGTGGATGTAAACTTCAGGCATGAAAGATGACCAAAGCACATCCTTCTATAATGTGTACTTATCTCTATCCAAAGCAGTGAGTGTGATTTCTCTCTGCTGCCCTGTTCCTCTGTTATTATCATTTCTGACAGGTTTTCCTGACTCCAAGAGACAACTGATGACAGAGGGGAGAGCTCCAGCACACAGCCTGTGATTCATATCCTTAGCTTAGCATGTTCTCTGTGTACTGTGAAGAGGGGGTGTGCCCCTTCCTTCCAATCAGGGCTTAGAGCTCCCGTCACTGAGATCTGCACTGTGAGACTTCAGATCCCCACACCCTGCTGCTTGAGCTGAGAATCATTTTTTGGTCTGTGTGTCTTAGAAGAGAATACTACAGATAAACAGGTACAACCTATGTAGGAGGATTTGTTTCACCTCTGTGTATCACTTGAGGCCAGTCACTTCAATGGGTATATATGCGAGTGTTTTCAATATTAGGGTTGCACCAATAGCCGATACTAAGCATTCACATGAATACTTGTACTCGTGCAAATGCTCCGATATCTGAAACCGATACCTTTGCTGTGTGAGTTGAGCCCATACAAAATGAATGGGCTGAAATCACACTGAAAGGAACTGCCTGTGATTTGAACAGGAATGTGATGTGATTCTTGTCCAAAACACATGTGGTTTCCCTGTGGGTGCGATTTGAGCCATTTTGTATGGCTCAAACCGCACTGCAACCACAGGGAAACCGCATGTGCTTCAGACAGGAATTGCACCACATTCCTGTTCAATCCCATGCGATTCTTTGCACTGTGATTGGAGCCCATTTATTTTGTATGGGCTCAAACTGCACTGCAAAGGTATCAGTAATCGGTGAGTACTTGCCAATAAAAAAACAGTTTTGGTGCAACCCTTGCTCACATACCACTGCCCTACTGATTTAGAATTAGCCATTGACAATGATTAATAAAGGCTCCATTTAACCTCTTGCCGTCCGCCTGCTGTTGATAAATGGCAGGGCAGTGGCAGTCCAGGGGCGGGTTGCCGTTTATAAACGGCACCCGCCTTTTCTAGCTGTGCGCGCTCCCTGGGAGCGCGCACCACCGTGATCCTCCGGTCACAGTGAAACACCGATCGTCGGACGGGACCTCTGTACGAGGTCCCGAACATTTGTGAACTCATTGGCATATCAGTGATCACATGCAAAGTAGTAAGCAAGATGTCACTTGTAACATCATTGCTTACTACGTGTGAAATCTGTGAATGATCACAGAGGTCACATGGTACAAGGCTATTCACAACAGCCTTGTACCATGTGACAAGCTGTGACCAATCACAGCTCACTCAGTACTTCTCAATGACTGCAAGAATGCAGCCAGAGAGAAGGAGAAATGATTGCTGTTACATCCTATATGGGTGTAAAAGCAATCAGTGTAAAAAAAAAAAAAAAAAATCTTCATCACCCCCCACAAGTAGTACAGTGTCACCATGGTGACACTGTACTGCTAGGGTGACAGTATGTAAAAATAAAATAAAAATAAAAAATAATAATATAAAAAAAATAAAATAAAAATGTAAACAAAAATGTTTAAAAATTATAATTTTTGGTTATAAACTAATTTGGATTTTTTTTTTTACAAAAAAATAACGGAATACATTTTGGCCAAGATTTATGATGAAATATTATTTATTTGCAAAATTTTATTTAAAAAAACACTTTTTTAAAAAAATTTTGGACTTTTTCATTTACATAGTAAAAAAAATAAAAATCCCATTGAATAAATACCACCAAAATAAAGCTTTATCTGTCTCAAAAAAATGGTAAAAAATTGATATGGGTACAGTATTGCATGACCGCGCAATTGTCATTCAAAGTGAGATAGCGCTGAAAGCTGAAAATTGCCCTGGTCAGGAAGGGGGTAAAAGTGTCCGGACAGGAAGTGGTTAAAGCCCCAATCCAGTCAAAAATCTTAATGTTTTGAAAACAGTGACAAACATGTAGAGCCACCAACAACATTTTTTTTTTATCACCGTGTTTGTCCTTATCCTGTATTTGATGAGTATCAGACAGGACAAGAAGTGCGGGAATATCCCCTTAACCAGGGACGGAGCGACAACTCATGGGCCCCCTGGGCAATAGGGGATCATGGGGCCCCTGTGTCCTTGCCCAAACTCAAAAAAGCCTATGAAAAAGGTACCAGGGGCATCTCATGGGGCCCCTTACTGACCCCGGGCCCTCGTGCAGTGCCCGAATTTCCAAATGGTCAGTCCGCCCCTGCCCTTAACACTTGCTAAGACAGCAGTAATAAAGGGTTTTTGCTGGAGTTGTTCTTTCATGGACAGGCAGCTTCTTCAGGCTGATATATAGCATCCCTCGTATCTGTGATGTAATGTCTATTGAGGCGGTTGTGATGTCAGGACATTCGGCTGCTATACATGGATAAACTTGCTTACCTCGGCATCCAGAAAGAAGATAATGCCATTATAAGAAACCAGACGGACATCCATCTCAAATCTCTTGGACACTCCTGAAAGGTTCTCCAGCCTGACCTGAGCATAGCCAGCTCCATCAAAGTAGGAGCCATCAGTGACCCACGGGTCTCCAGTAGATTTAGACCTGGTAAAGCAAAAGAACTATAAAAAGACGGGAGCAGGAACAATGATATTGTACATTTCCCTTGATAAAGATTGGCTTTATATGCCCTCATAGTAGGAGGTGACATTGTCGGGTGAGGTGTGAATTTGTGTTAGTATGGGAACAACGGCTTCCGTGTGGGTAGCTATGTGTGCAGCAGCCATACGGGACACTGAAACCAGACTGGCACTGTGCAGATACATACCTGGCACACGGTTTATCCTTTGTTGTGTCCAGCTGGAAGGTTCTCTCTCAAAGTCATACAGGCTGATTGGCTTCTCATTGAGGGTATCCATTTCTATACAGCCTTTGAAGTTTGGATAATCCATTGAGGCAGGAGGCTGCAATTAGATGACAACATTGTGGTATTGACATTGGCAGAGCCTGGCGGCAACATACGCCAAGAGCTAATCACACTTTATTTCGTTGTTCAGCCATCAAGTATTGTATTACAAAGGAAGCAAACACACTTCATATTATTCTCTATCTGCAGTCCAAGCTTACACAAAGAGCTCAACATAGAACTCAATTTATTTTCCAATGGCAGACTTGCTGGAGCAAAGGGTTCTGGGTAATGACCTGTAGAAATTGGAGCATTAGTTGGAAAATGAAGTCTTGCTAGATGACTTCAGGCTGGCCCGTTTTGCTTAGCTATGTAAAATAAGTGTCTATACTGTTTAAAATCCAGTAATACGCTGTCTCACCCTGCTCTGCACATGCTCAGTTGCTCTCCATTTTTGGTTCTTTGCCGAAAATCTAGTGGCCAATCCCGGGTCTGAATACGGGGAGAGACTGACAAAGCTTCTGTCCAAAGGTACCTCCTGTGCTCCTTCATCCAGAGTGGGTGCACTCTAATACAGGAGGTGTGTTGCTGGCCAGATCGCCAGGTGAGGACGGAGGGGAGGGGAACCTGGAAAGGAAGACTGATACAGATGCCACATCTAGGGATTGCTAATGATTTCCAGGATCCCAGTGGAAGCATGGCTACAGAGGAGGCTTATATCCAGAGGAGGGATCCTGGGTCCATGCTGTCTGTCAGGTCCATTTAAAGGGGGCTTCCTGCAGATTCTTGTTCAACATATTGCACTTTAATTATGCGCATCTGGTGAGTGCGCATTTTTTTTTCAATCTTCTGCATGGATAAAGCCACACGGAATTATTGGATACCACTTGTGCAATAGGACCCGTCTGAAGCGCTGTATGCTGACCTGATTGTGTGAAGCCTTCACTACTTTATGAACACTTTAGTTAGTTATAAGACTTTCACAGTTGCACTTACTTTATTGCTCCCATCATAGCGCTTTATCCAGTTATATTTGTTATTACTATTACTTAATATTGATTTATTAATACCATCACTAACAAGTATTTATTATTCAATATTTCTTCAGTTTTACGCTATGTAATGTTTTAGCGCTGCACTGGTTTCTATTTTGATTAGTAGCTGACAGCCTAAAGATTTACTGATGCTCAGGGGCTCTAGGCTTCAGCAAAATGGCCTTCTCCAGCAAGAAGAAACAGGAACAATGCTGGGGGGCAATTTACAGCACACACTAATTCTGGTAGGATCATTTTTAATGCAGAATGTATGTTGTTTGCTAAAGAAAATTACTTTTTTTTATAAAATTGCTATGGTTAAAGTTCCACTTTAAGTAAAATGCAGCAGAGAAAAAGCAGCAAGAACAGAGAGATGATGTGCCGAGGGAAACAGCTACAATAAAATGTCATAGTCTGCGATCACAGTTCAATCTGAGAAAATTTCTAACAACAGACATGTAAGGGAAGAATTCATTCTGGGCAATTGGGAACGAGACAAAGTTCTGAGAGCATGATGGATCATGAGATCTGTACCAATTAGCCATTTACCTTGAAGTTAGATGGATAGCCGCCTACATAGAAGACCACTTTCTGGGGGTCCAGGTTCAGCAGTCCCTGCTCTCCACTTGCTTTGCTGTCTCCTTTGATCTCGTGCAGGCTGTCCTTGGTTACAAAGATAGACATCTGGCCGTACTGCAGAATCCTGTTGGGAAGGGAGCAGACAGAGACAGTGGCATAGACTGCTTTCCATAACAAAGCCAGGACAAGACATGGAGGATACCCAGCAGAATATAAACTTCCACATCACAGAAGTCTCTCTTGTTTTATTAAGCCTCAGTTCTGCCCAAACTGTTCCTACAGACTCCAGATGCTCATTACCCAGCTACCCTGACAGGTTTCAGGGGGACTTCTAGCCTGTAACTCAAGTGGATTCAGGCCAAAACTTTTTCTTTTTTGCTTTGGAGAAAGTGGGGAATAGTAGAACTTCTGTCAGGTGTTCAGTGCTGGCTGTGTCTCCATTGGTAGATTTCAGCTCAAGCCCAGAATTCCATTTTAATACATTCTCACATCAACATGGAAGACAAATGCAATAAACTACCATCCAGCGATTTTATGGGAAATATTACATTTTTGGATATGAACATTCTAATAAGCATTTTCAGGCCAAATGGTATAGAAAAAATTGCTATAATGATTCACACACAAAGCATCCAACGAGCTTCATGGGCCATAGCAATCTCCCTTCATTGCAGCATAGGTGTAATAGGAATGGACTCTAAGGTCAGTCTTTTCTATATTAATCTGTGAGGTTTGCTTTTACTAGATATGCAGCCAGTAATGCCAGCATTATAGGCAGTATTAGAGTGGAAATTCATCCAAAAGTGGAAGTTTCGCTTTTCTACCTCCCCCCCCCCTTAACACTTTTGGGTACATTTTTTGGGGGGGAAGTGGGTACCTAATTTTGGCAGATACCCACTCCCACTTCCACTGGCCCCCAATCCTTTGCTCACAAAGCAGCGGGACCATTCATAAAGCGTAGCGTGGCTCGCACATGAGCAGTAGGAAGCCAGCTGTGAAGCCACTAGAACTCACAGCCAGCTTCCTTCAGTAAACATGCTGGTGGTGGGGACCTGAAGACTGGGGAAGAACCGGCCCAGGTGAAGACAGAACTGGATCCCTGGATAGGTAAGTTTCCTTATATCAAGTATTTGTAGCTGCAGACTTTTAATTTTTTTGGTGGGGACACCAAAGATCCTCTTTGACATAGCCTATTACAGTGATTCTCAACCTTCCTAATGCCGCGACCCTTTAATACAGTTCCTCATGTTGTGGTGACCCCAACCATAAAATTATTTACCCAGTAATTATAATTCATGAAGTGTTGTTTTACCTCCAATACTGCTGCTTTCAACACAGTAGCTGCTTTTAACAGAGTAGCTGCTTTCAACACAGCAGCTGCTTTTCAGAGTACACTGCTTTCAACACAGCAGCTGCTTTCTACACAGTAGCTGCTCTTTACACATCGGAAATATGTGTTTTCCGATGGTCTTAGGTGACCCCTGTGAAAGGGTCGTTCGACCCCCAAAGGGGTTGCGACCCACGGGTTGAGAACCACTGGATCTATTACTTATTGTTGGCAGTGCAGCCTACTGTCTACAGCCTATTGACTGCTCTAGTAAGTCCCCGTGCCTCTTGAATATGTCCTTTTTTTAATTCTAGTGTCATCCTAGCCATTAAAGCAAATAAATCCAACTGGAAAGCACAAATATTGGAAGCATTTTTAGTTCTCCTAGGACCCCACACTAGTCTGACAGGTTATTCTGATTCAATACTGGTTGGAAACTGGTTTTCTAGTCTGCCCAATCGACAATTTTCAGCAGGTCAGGGAGCTCATGTAGTGATAACCTGCAATTTCAGTGTATTAAATGTAATGACAGCCCTGAAAATAACAGCCACTGTGAGTGGAACACATGCTATGATAAATGACAGCTTTCAGTATAGGATTCTGCACAGCAAAGAGGTTGCGTGAAAGAACGGGCCTTACACCCCCACCCCAGGAAACCCATTGAAGAACACAAATAAACTGTTAATGCGGGAAGTAAAGTGCTCACCTCTCTACAACGACAGTGACAAACTGCTCTTTGATGTCCTCGTTGGCTGTCAGGAGGGTGGGCTCCTGGTCCCCCAGACGATAGATACACTGCAGTCTGTTGCCTCTCAGGACCAGCCCAAAATAATCTCCTTCACCCTTTAAAAAAAAAAAAGATTGCCAAATAATAACCAGTAAGGAGACACATTTTTATGCCTTCTACATAGATACTTCTGCATAAATATGGATGACGTTAGGTTCTCCGACACACAGAGTGAAATAAATATCGTATTCTTAGGTTAATCTGACTGAGACAGACTGGGAACACTTCATTCTAACGTGATTTGCTGAAACCACTAGCACTCTTTTCTTGGTAAAACCTTTGTAAGGTGCAACTCCAGTCTAGCTAAAATCTGCAGAAACTTCATCCTGGAGCGTTCAGAGGTGCTGACGTCATTGGTTGGGGAAAGGGATGAACCCCATTCCCTTCTTTAACCCGCTGCTTCCCTCTATCCATCTTTCTTTCACCCTTCCCTCCTCTACTCTTTCCTCTCCTTCTTCTCCCCAACCCTTTTTTTTGTGTGATTGTTGTGTCCTGGGTGCTCTTGGGCACTATCGGCATATTTCTATATGGTATGATTGTTATGCCAATGCATATGCCCCCCTTTTTTTTTTGTTTCTATTTTTTTTTTTTTTTTTCCATTTTTCTGGTTAGAAAAAAACGAAGGGAGGTGCAGACCTTTAGTACATGGATTGTTCCACCATCCAGTTTAAGTGCTCAGTACAAACAATGGGACCCATGGAACATGGGCAGCACAGTGGCTAAATGGTTAGCACTTCCACTTGGCAGTACTAGGGTCGTTGGTTCAAATCCCAGCCACGGCACCACCTGCCTGGTGTTTGCATGTTCTCCCTGTGCCTGCGTGGGTTTCCCTTGGGGGTACTCCGGTTTCCTCCCACACTCCAAAGACATGCTGGTGGGTTAATTGGATCCTGTCTAAATTGGCCCTAGTATGTGTATGTATGAATGTAAGTTAGGGACCTTAGATTGTACACTCCTTGAGGGTTAGGGACTGATGAGAATGTTATATATACATATATATATATTTATATATATATATACACATATATATATATATATATGTATGTAACATGCTGCGTAAATTGACGGCACTATTTAAGTACCTGAAAGAAATATATAACATGTTGCATCGATGAGCGTACAGTATTTTGCATGGTGTATTATACATGCATGCTTGGCTTGATTGTCTACATATCTGCTTACTACTGTGTGTATTGAGGAACATGTTCTGTTCTTTCTACTGGTTGTGTACACCATTTTTCTTTGGATAAATCAAAAAACTGCAGAAATGACTATAACCAATTAATATTGTCTTCTGTTTTATGACATTAATAAGAAAAATATCCACCCTCACAAACTGTGTATCTCTGACCATACCCTAGGCTACGTAAGGGCAATAAAAAAAGAAGAGGTAATGGAAAGTAGGTGAAGCTCCAACAGTATTATAGGAGTTAAAGTGGAACTCCAGGAAAAAAAAAGTTAAATACGCAGATGAAAAAATATAAAAGTCAGTGGTTTTACCTGAAAAATGGTATCTAGTTCTGTCTTTTCAGTTCAGGGCATTACATGGCTCTGCCCCAAAGCACAGCCCAAGCTGGAATGGCAGGAGACCTGGTTTTCTCTGCTGCAGTTTAGTAACATTTATCCTCCTCCCCACCTGACAGTGAGGAGAGAAGCAGCAGACTGATGAGCTCATCTCTCCGACACTTTGCTCTCTCCTCCTATTAGCATACTCCTTGCATGGCAGCCCAATTGATTGGCTCATTGTGCAGCTCAGCTTTCCCCAGTCTGAATTCTACTTCAGGAGAACTGCAAGAGGCTGATACCAAGTCAAATACAGGCACTTATGCAGGCCATAGACGGGGAGAAAAACGGACATTTTTGTTTTAGAAATCAGTCGTTCAATCAGCCGTCACCACCATTGGTAAAAAAAAAGTCGGCTGATTTTCGTCCTGTCTACGGACGGCAATTATATAGAACATGCAGAGGAAGAAGAAATAGAATATGCAGAAGAAGAAGAAATAGAATATGCAGAAGAAGAAGAAATAGAATATGAAGAAGTAGAAATAGAATATGAAGAAGAGGAAATAGAATATGAAGAAGAAGTAGAAATAGAATATGAAGAAGAAGAAATAGAAATAGAAGAAGAAGAAGAAGAAGAAGAAGAAGAAGAAGAAGAAGAAAAAAGTTGCAACATTGTAACTATTTGTATCCATTTCGGATACAGATGTTTCTATTCGGATACAAATAGATACAATGTTGCAATACTTTTAAATGTCAAATATAATAGTGGACTGAAATTCTTTTTTTTTTCGTCTTCTTATTCATATTCTATTTCTTCTTTTTCTTCTTCTTCTTCATAGTCCATTTCTTCTTTTTCTTCATCTTCTTCATAGTCTATTTCTTCTTTTTCTTCATCTTCTATTTCTTCTTTTCTTCTTCTTATTCATATTCTGTTTCTTCTTTTTCTTCTTCTTATTCATATTCTATTTCTTCCTCTTTATATTCTATTTCTTCTTTTTATTCACATTCTATTTCTTCTTCTCATTCATATTCTCTTTTTTTCCTTTTCTTCTTTTCCTTCTTTCACGTCACTGCTTTTTTAAAATCGGAAAAAAGATCGGCAGATTTGTCCATCATTGCCGCGAAAATTGGCAGAGTGACAAATTTGAATTATTATTTTCCAGCAGGGCCGATAATCCATAAGGTCAAAAATCACTAAAAACGACCGACCGATTACCGCACTATCAATCCGAAAATCGGCCGATTTTTTTTTTCGGCCAATTTTTTGGCCGTTTTTCATCCCATCTATGGCCCGCATTACACTCCTTGCATTAAAAAAAAAAAAATGATTGATGTATTCATGAATACGGAGCTGTTCTAACTGCTGTCTTTTATATTGGCCTGAAGTTCAGCTTTCCAATACCCTGACACAGACATATGAAATACACTGAAGCAGGAGAGACTAAAGAGAGAAACAAACTTCACACTTCACATATAAAACGACAGCTGGAGGCACTTGGGCACCATAATCCAGTGATGTGTTCATAGGAAGGGCAGCCAGTTTTTGGAAGTGATAATGTGTTCATGTAACATGGCTATGATAGAGAAAAACTGCATTTCAAAACATTTCTCATTAAAGCACTGACTGCGTCCTACTTACATCCTCATGCCCAAGGAACATCACAAAACGCGCCTCGTCGCCTTCGGCTTGGCGCTTCTTCTTGCTCTGCGGTGACGGGTTCTGTATGTGTAACTTCAGAGATATGTAGGCAGACAAGTCATGAAGGTTGCTGGGAGTGCGGAGCTGGACCCCGGAGCTGCCATTAAACTTCACAGGAACTTTAACCTACAGAAGATCCACGACAAAGAGGCAACGAAGGATTAGCTGGGGTTAGTTATCCCCCCGTATCAAAGTGTAGCTGTAAATACGACAAGAAAGAATGGTAAAAAAAAAACTACTTCAATTTTTTAGTCAAGGGATGGAGGGCGGAAGGCGGACGACAAGGCAACCTGCTGAGCAAATATCACAGCCAGTTCATCAGGAAGGCTCATAAATTGAAGATATATGATCAATGTGATACCTGGAACACTAGCATTTTCAGGGGTCAGTAATGGCAGCCTCCTCCTAATAAGCCACAACCTTTACTGACCTCTGTAAAAAGTCATCTGTGCAGAGGCATCCCTAGGGTTGGTGTCACCCGGTGCGGTAACACTTGATGACACCCCCTCCTGACGATCCCCGCAGAATGAATCGGATCTGCGGAATGGATCCGATCCATTATGCCCAATCCGCAGATCCAATCCATCCTGTGGGGATCGTCGACTTTCTTTACAACTTACCCTTTCTTGGAGCAGGTCTGGTGTCACCCCGTATAGGTTGCATGCCAACGATGCCCGCAGGGGACCACAGGATCGTCGGCATGCAACCTATACGGGGTGACACCAGACCCGCTCCAAGAAAAGGAAAGTTGTAAAGAAAGCCGACGATCCCCGCAGGATTATTATTATTATTATACAGTATTTATATAGCGCCAAAGGGTATGCTCAGCGCTGTACAGTAGCAAGGGGGACAGAACATGAGACAAGACAGTAACAATACAATACATGAGGGGATCGAGGGCCCTGCTCTTTCGAGCTTACAATCTAGGAGGGAGGGGAAGGTGGCACAGGAGGAGATGGCTGTGGGGGATGGAGTGGTGGGTGGAGTGGAGGAGGTTAGTTGTTAGGTGAGATCGGCAGTTAGGTGAGGGCGGGGTAGGCTTCCCTGAAGAGGAGGGTTTTCAGGGTGCGCCTGAAGGTGAGGAGGGTAGGTGACAGTCTGATGGATTTGGGTAGGGAGTTCCAGAGGATGGGGGAAGTCCTGGAGAAGTCCTGCAATCGGGCGTGGGAGGAGGAGACCTGGGAGCTAGAGAGCAGGAGGTCCTGTGAGGAGCGGAGGGCACGGGTAGGGTAGTATCTGGGTATCAGGTCAGTTATGTAGTTTGGGGCGGCATTGTGAATGGCCTTGTAGGTCAGGGTTAGCAGCTTGAACTTGATGCGTTGGGCAATTGGGAGCCAATGAAGGGATTGGCAGAGGGGGGTGGCAGATGTGGAGCACTTGGTGAGGTGGATGAGTCTGGCCCCCATCCTGTGGGGATCGCCGCTTGCTTTACAACTTACCTTTTTGTGAAGCGGGTCCGGTGTCACCCCGTGCGGTCGGTGTCACCCAGTGCGGACCTGTGCACCTGCCTCGGGACACCACTGCAGCAATGGAAGAGTCCACTGTATGTGCCACACTGATATTCCAAGGTGATAAATGAGCACAGCACTTTAGGACTATATCAAAGCTGGCCATAGATGGATCAAATCTTCACCGGCTGGGATTCAATCCATCGATCGACTTGTGTACAACCAGCCTGCTGACTTTTTTTTAGCATGTTATTACTGCCCATGGCTATAGCCGCTAGCAGTATCTATTGTATTCTGCCAGCCGGAAAAGCTCCCTGCCAGGAGAATACAATATCGCTGTAGGAGGTGTTCCCCCATTGACACTGCCTGTGTTGATGGGGGAATCAAGTGGTTTTCTTTCCTTCCACCTGTGGTGGATAATCAACTAAACTATAGCTTGCCAAAGGTATAAAACACTTCCAAAGCACACTAAAATCTGCAAACCAAGCACAATGTCTATTTCTCTGGGGGGACCTTACAACATTACGGTTATTCGTTCTTCAAATACATCTCGATCAATATTAACATACAGTGCTGAACAAATGATTAACCAATCAATCTATATCCGTGCAAAAGCTCCTGCTGGCTCCTTTATAAACACATAAGTAACTCACAAAAAAAAAATCAAATGACGTTAATAGATTTCCAAGGCACTAAAGCAATACTGAATATACAATACAACAAACCATAAAGATCCTAAGAAGGTCCATGCAAAGTCCCACACCTATTGTGAATAAATGAATAGCCACGATTCAGTCGTGCGGGAAAAATGATACGATTATCCCGCTCTGTGAACAATCACCTCATCGTTTTCCTCCACGACTATTCGTTTACTCATTATTGGTGTGGGGCTTCATGGTTTGATGTACTGTGTATTCAGCATTGCTCTAGCTACTTCAGAAATATTTTATAAAAAAGTAGTCTATTTCTGATGCTCATTCCAACTCACCTTGCTGGCAGCATCTCTTGCCTGAGAGATCAGCTGGCGGATTCGCTGGATACTGTCTGAAATGCTGCCATTTTGTCCTTGACGGCCCTCTAACTTGTTGAGTTTATCCAGAAGTAGCGGGATGGTGTTCTCCAAGTTGGACACTAAGCGCAAGGAAGGAACAGAGAAGAAACCATGTCACTTGATGAAGTTGTAGCTGGATGACATTTTTACACATCTGACCATCAGGAGAAGACCTTCTTACCTAAATGAAGTCCTCGTAGCTTTTTTCATGATTCCATCATTAGTTATTTCACTTTGTTGTTATTATCATACACAGCAAAAATCTTTAGCACTTTACAGAGTACACAGATCATGCACAGCCACTTCTACCTAGAGATCTATAGCCAGGGGTTCCTACTGTAGTCATAGCCTCATACTAGGACCACTTCATGTGAAAGCCAATTAACCTATCTGTATATATATGACCTATATCAGCCTTTCTCAACCAGGGCGCCTTGAGGTTTCTTCAGGGGTGCCTTGAGGTTTCTTCAGGGGGTACCTTGAGGTTTCTTCAGGGGTGCCTTGAGGTTTCTTCAGGGGTGCCTTGAGGTTTCTTCAGGGGTGCCTTGGCAAATTGTCTAAAAATTGCCCAAAACTTCTATACAAGCCAGCGGGTGGAACAAGCCTGCCTTTTAGTTACACAAAGCCACAGGTTTTCATTGTGCACCATTACGATCTTCTAGCCACCGGCCTCCTGACCACCAATGGACATCATCAGTTGATAAGGAGGATGTCAGCTGCCTGCACAGCATCCTAGTGTGACCCTCCCCTGCCCCTCTCCATCAGTGCTGGGGTCACATCAGCTCAGTGATAGAGAAAAACTGAGGGAGAGGAGAAACACTAGAATACTAGTCAGTACCAGGTGTGCAAAAGTGTATTTGCTTTGGAAGAATAAATCCCCTTTAATGTTGGGTGTCCTACATGTGTGGATGTTGCAGTGATATATAAAACTATTAAAATCATTTTTCAAATTTTAGAATGGGGGCCTTTTATAATTATGGGCATTCTTGAGGCACCCCATTTTAGAAGGGTCCTCAGGACTGTCCATAATTTTAAAGGGTGCCTTGAATAAAAAAAGTTTGAGAAACACTGCTCTATATTAGTATAGTGTTGCTTTCCAAAGTCAGAAGGTATTTATGTGCCATCACTTCAATCATAAATTAAACACATGGAGTTTATTCCTCATTTCAGGACAGGACCCCCAGCCAGTAAACTGTCCCCTTATTTCACTGCCACCAACTGTGCTTCCAGAACTGCAGTCTTAAAAATCTGCATTTCCACTCTTCATCTTTTACAATACTGCAGTCTTACCTCACACTGATCTTTTATTATATTACCTCCCTGTCAGAGCAGAAGGATGTCTGAACTCAAAAAATCATCATATAGAAAAGATACTGTCCGATTTACATGAAAGAAAACAAATGTCTTTGTTAATTTACAGATTTCCCCTTCCACAGTGGCTGAAATGTCTGCACTGACAGGGAGAAAATAAAAATGAATAACAGCACACACTCCCAACCTTGAGAACTAAGGCTGCACTTTTACACCACCTTACCAATAAAGATACTGATTCTTATAAACGCCCATTCCGGACTGGTTCTTAAAGTGTTAATAAACCCAGAACCCTGCATTCACTATCTGGTATCGACCCTGCATTCACTATATCTGGTCCCCAGACCCTGCATTCACTATATCTGGTCTCCCCGGACCCTGCATTCACTATATCTGGTCTCCCCGGACCCTGCATTCACTATATCGGTCTCCCCAGACCCTGCATTCACTATATCGTCTCCCCGGACCCTGCATTCACTGTATCCGGCCTCCCTGGACCCTGCATTCACTATATCCGCTCTCCCCGGACCCTGCATTCACTATATCGGTCTCCCCGGACCCCGCATTCACTATATCCGCTCTCCCCCGGACCCCGCATTCACTATATCTGCTCTCCCTGGACTCTGCATTCACTATATCCGCTCTCCCTGGAATCTGCATTCACTATATCCGCTCTCCCCGGACCCCGCATTCACTATATCCCTCCCCGGACCCCGCATTCACTATATCCGCTCTCCCCAGACCCCGCATTCACTATATCCGCTCTCCCCAGACCCCGCATTCACTATATCCGCTCTCCCTGGACCCTGCATTCACTATATCTGCTCTCCCTGGACTCTGCATTCACTATATCCGCTCTCCCTGGAATCTGCATTCACTATATCTGGTCTTCCCAGACCCTACATTCACTATATCCGCTCTCCCTGGACCCTGAATTCACTATATCTGGTCTCCCCGGACCCTGCATTCACTATATCTGGTCTTCCTAGACCCTACATTCACTATATCCGCTCTCCCTGGACCCTGCATTCACTATATCTGGTCTCCCTGGACCCTGCATTCACTATATCTTGTCTCCCTGGACCCCGCATTCACTATATCTGGTTTCCCACAGTACACAGAACATGGAAATGCAATTATTTTAGTAAATATAAACTGCTAAATATCTTTTCTCATCAGCTGTTAGAGCAATCTTGTGACTTCAGCAGAGCACTGGTTAAAGCTTGTAGGAGGAGTTTTTTATTTGCTCTAAGAGGATGCAGAACCCCTGACCTCTGTCTGGACAGTACTGATTGGCCCTGTGCTGATCACATGTACTCTCCCAAGAAAACCAAAAAAACCTCTCTATCAATACACTCCAAACTGAGCATGTGTATGTGACTACAGATTCAGTGTATCAGGTGGTCATTTGAACAAGAGGAGGAGCAGAGAAGACAGGATCAAACATCCTTTTTACACAATGCAGAGGATTAACCCCTTAGGTTCCACAGTGAGTATAACAAGCATGCTTTACTGCATATACAGACTGATTGTACTGTTGTGGGTTTAGTAACACTTTATGCTCACAGATCAATTGATTCCATGGGGTTATGGTGAGGTAGCTCAAAGCTAAAGCAGCTGAAGCACCATAAAGGGTGAAGTTATATTTTAGTCCAGAAAAATCAGACCACTTGGAATTTTGTAACTAACCTGAAGATTTTGCCTCTTCAACTGCCTTATTCACATCCTCATTGCGCATATTCCCGTACTTGTTTTTCCATTGCTCCAGGTTCTTCTTGATGTCGGTTAGGGTGGCTTCCACTTTGGTGGCAGTATTGTTTGCCTCGGCAGCTTTTGCCTTAGCTCTATTAATATTATCGGACACATTATCTGTAACCAAAAAAAGAAAGAAGAGAGCAAATCACAGCAGTGCAGCAACATGGAAGACTGCCTGCCACCATGTGCTGAAAGGCTACCTAAATCTTTTCAGTGCCTGAAAGAGTAACTATCTGTGTTATCTGGAGCAACCTATCAAAGCCCCATTTCTCTCTCTAATTAACCAGAGAAGCATGAAAGGAAGAAGTTGATTGGATATTATTAGCAACCTGATCCTCTTTCATACATGGGTCAGTCATCCTATTTCCCATGAATGGGAACAGCCATAGTAAAACTAAGGCTTTGGGGATTAACTTTTAGAATTGAGGTTGGGGGTTGAATGCTGGAATTAGGTTGCCTGTCTGGGCAAAATGAAAACACAGAGCACATCTCTAAAAAACATACACGTCTCCACCTTGTGACCTGTCAGTACAGAAAAATACCTGTCGATCTGCCAGAAATAACTCTCAGTAGTGAGCTGACAACTCTGCCCCTGCTGCACTGAAACTCTAAGCAGTGTTGTCAGTCCTACCCAGTTCTCCCCTGTTGGACTATAGAACGCCTCCTCCACATCTTATGGAGTTGAGGAGAAGGAAAGGTGGAGAAGCTCTGTAGTCATGCACAGGAGGACGTACAACATGGCTTGCTGGATTTCTAGAAAACCAACATGATCAAGAACTAATACACCAGCTAGGGGCGGACTGACCATTTGGAAACTCAGGCACTGCCCGAGAGCCCCGGGTCAGTAGGGGGCCCCATGAGATGCCCCTGGTACCTTTTTCATAGACTTTTTTTGAGTTTGACAAAGGACACAGGGGCCCCATGATCCCCTATTGCCCGGGGCCCCATGAGTTGTCAGTCCGCCCCTGATACCAGCTATAATAAATCCAACACAACAAACACTTTACTCCTGCGCTAGGAAAGAACTCAGTAGACCCAATAGGAATGTTCTGGAATTTTCTGGAATATGCACTGCTTACTGCCCTCAACAGACCGGGGTGGTCCGAATACACTGGATACAAATGGAGAAACAGAAAAAGGGCACACCGACCTAGTGCATTATCGTTTAAAATAATTTATTAAAGAAACAAAAATAGGTATCATACTCACAATGGACATAATAACACAGGCATGTCAAACTGAACAAGATGTATGATCCAAACAACATCTGAGTCCATATGATGGAACCCTGGATGACCAACTGGCTAACGCGTTTCGAGGACACAACCTCTTCCTCAGAGCCAACCTGACGAAGAGGTTGTGTCCTCGAAACACGTTAGACAGTTGGTCATCCAGGGTTCCATCGTATGGACTCAGATGTTGTTTGGATCATACATCTTGTTTAGTGAACCAGCTATAATAAGACTTTAGGTATCTGTTTTGCAAGCTGGGGGATAGGCTGGCAAGGCACTTTGCTTAATTTACAAGAAGAAAGAAAGGGTTGGAGGAATCACCAAGTGGTAACCCAAGGGGGAGATGGGAGACGAGCATTGGTTTATCAAAATTCCCCCAGAAAAGTCTTGTGAGCCTTCTTGTACTATGCAGCAGGCTGGAAAACAAGTGTATATCTACTGGAAGACGTCAACACCTCCCGCCCAACCAATGTCTTGGAGTCATTATTGCTCTCTCTAGTCTGTACAGTGAACAAACAAGCAGATCTGGATAATACAGTTGAGCATGTTTATGCACAGAACCTGCTAATGACTGTTTGGCATTGGGATGTACTGATGGACCCTGACCCACAGAGACCTCCAGCTGTAATGATGTAACAGAAATGGTTATCTGACCCTCGGTTCACATATATGCTGCCGTGCGGGCCACGTTTTGCATGGGCATGAGAGCCCATTCATTTGAATGGACTTCCGTGCCCGTGACAGCGAAGTCGTCCCTGCACTTCTTTGGAAAACGCAGACAGAGGTTCTCAGTACGGTTGCGTTTTCCAGTACAGGCGGCGTGCCATTAGAACTAATGGCACCCGCCCAGGGGTCCACATTCCTCTGTGTGGGTGGTGCAGCTGCATGGATTTTCATGCGGATCCCCACAGCGGCACCACCCGCGCAGATGTGAACCTAGGGTTTTGAAGGAAAGGCTCAGGATAGATGTATAAAGTTCCATCAGGGGAGCAGGTAACGGTGGACGATGACAACCATGGCCTGGTCACTCTTAGCGGAATGAGCCACCTTGGCTTTGGTTGCGATGGCATCAATCCATATTTACCTTGTGTCATGCTGATTTTCTCTATGACAGATCTCAGGTCGGATTCTAATTTTGCCTTCTTTGTTTTGCTGTCTTCCAGCTTCTTTGTGGCTTCCTGCAGCTTCTTCTGGACATCTGAAGAGAAGGAGAGGTCAGCATGTAACACAGGACCTGCACTGATTCACCAAGTAACAGCCAATTATGTGAAATTCTCCCTAACACACGTATTAGTGCCCATGTCACATTTTTCTCATCAAAAAGAATTTCCTGGGTGGCACAGCCATGTCTTCCAGAAGACTTTGAGGCTTAGCGAACAAGACAATATAATGAGCAACCAATCAGTTTTCACTTACTGTAATCATTGAGAATTGAACGTTTATCGTTGTCCTGCAGCGTCTTTTAATATATCTGCAGCTCTCGTCATTACTGCTTTAAGGGAATGTTTAGTCTTTTCAACATTTAGAGACAAACTTGGTGCAAATGAGTATATGTCGTGTTTTACAAGCCTTGTTTCTTTATATAATTTGTAATTACAAATGTCCATAATGGGAACGTACAGTGAGAAACAGAAGTATTTGAACACCCTGCGATTTTGCAAGTTCTCCCACTTAGAAATCATGGAGGGGTCTGAAATTCACATTGTAGCTGCATTCCCACTCTGAGAGACAGAATTAAAAAAAAAAAAAATTCAGGAAATCACATTGTATGATTTTTAAAGAATTTATTTGTCTTGCACTGCTGAACATAAGTATTTGAATTCCTAAGAAACAACAAGAATTCTGGCTCTCAAAGACCTGTTACTGTGCCTTTAAAAACTCCACCTCTACTCCACTCATTAATCTAACTTAGTAGCACCTGTCTGAGCTCTTTAAAGACACCTGTCTACCCCACAGTCAGTCAGACGCCAACTACTACCATGGGCAAGACCAAAGAGCTGTCAAAAGACACCAGAGACAAAATTTTGGACCTCCACAAGGCTGGAAAGGGCTACGGGGCAATTGCCAAGCAGCTTGGTGAAAATAGATCAACTGTTGGAGCAATTGTTAGAAAATGGAAGAGGCTAAAGACGACTGTCAGTCTCCCTCAGGCTGGGGCTCCATGCGAGATCTCACCTTGTGGGGTATCACTGATGATAAGAAAGGTGAGGAATCAGCCCAGAACTACAAGGGAGGAGCTGGTCAATGACATGAAGAGAGCTGGGACTACAGTTTCAAAGGTCACTGTAAGTAGAACACTACGCCGTCATGGTTTCAAATCATGCATTGCACGGAAGGTTCCCCTGCTCAAGTCATCACATGTCCAGGCCCGTCTGAAGTTTGCCAATGACCATCTGGATGATCCAGAGGAAGCATGGGAGAAAGTCATGTGGTCAGATGAGACCAAAGTAGAACTTTTTGGTCTGAACTTCACTAGTCGTGTTTGGAGGAAAAAGAAGGATGAGTTGCATCCCAAGAACACCATCCCTAAAGCATGGGGGTGGTAACATCATGTTTTGCGGTGCTTTTCTGCAAAGGGGACAGGACGACTGCACTGTATTAAGCAGAGGATGAATGGGGCCATTTATTGTGAGATTTTGAGCAACAACCTCCTTCCCTCAGTCAGAGCATTGAAGATGGGTCGTGGCTGGGTCTTCCAACATGACAACGACCCGAAGCACACAGCCAGGATAACCAAGGAGTGGCTCCGTAAGAAGCATATCAAGGTTCTGGAGTGGCCTAGCCAGTCTCCAGACCTAAATCCAATAGAACATCTTTGGAGGGAGCTGAAAGTCCGTGTTGCTTAGCGACAGCCCCGAAACCTGACAGATCTAGAGGAGATCTGTGTGGAGGAGTGGGCCAAAATCCCTGTTGCAGTGCAACCTGGTCAAGAACTACAGGAAACGTTTGACCTCTGTAATTGCAAACAAAGGCTTCTGTACCAAATATTAACACGGATTTTCTCAGGGGTTCAAATACTTCTGTTCCTCACTGTATGTACTCATTAAATATGCAAGCTTTGCTTCATCCTGATTGTATTTCCCTACTGGCTCTGTGACCCCCACCCAGTGCCGTGGCGTATTCAGATCATATCAAGACCTTGAGCTTGCATACGATTGCTTTCTTTTGAAACAACACCGCACCTTTGCCTGTGTTTTATATATTATTGTCTAACCGTCTCTTACGTGTTAATATTTCCGTTATGTCAGCCACTATTAATGTACCACGCACTTTATGTTGACGCTTAATACGCCCTAACCTGGGGGCTTTATTTGCCTTATTGTTTCTTTCTTTTTCCTATATCCCCCCTCCTTTCTTTTTCTCTTTTCTTACTGGTATGACTGGTATATGTTGTATCCCAGCTTGTTTCAATAAAGCTTTTCAAAGTAAAAAACAATTGCAGACTTTAATCCAGCAATGAAAATGAAATTTCTACAGTTGCTTTCCATCTTTCCAATCCAAAAACTGGTAGTCCAGCCATGAAGGTCTTTTGTTCAGGCACTTATGGGGTACTAATGATCTTCTAATTGTTCTTCTGTGTTGGCGCTCTGGTGTTGTCTGTAAGTAGCTGTGCCAAGGCCGGCCATACATGGGTCGAAATTCGACCGAATTTTTCGTCCAATCAACCAAAGAATAATTGGGCGATTTTCGCTCTGTTAGTGGGTCAATGGCACCGGCCGATTTTCGTGGTTCCTACCTTTTCGGTGATAGGGCACGTTGGAAAATTTGTCTAAAATGACCGATTTTTATGCAGATTTCTCCATCGATGTGCTCCTTCTTTCTCTTTTGTTCTTTTTTAATGTGTTCTTTGTATATATATATATATATGTGGAAATCAATACAAATTGCTAATAGAAAAAATTTGACCATCATTTTTGACTCAATGATGGTCAAATCGTACGATCTTTTTTCCGAAAAGAATATGCACATGAGCCGTGACCCGGAAGGAACAGAAGTTTCGCCTGTTATATGGGGTGAACTTTATGACTTGGTTGGCCGATTTTGCAAATCATTGATGGCACCATCGGATTACCAAGGAAACAATGTTTTCGACGAAAAATCGTTCAGGATTTGAACCATGTATAGCCTGCATAACAGAGATAATGTAAGCATAGTCCACCATTGTCAACAACAGGAAACCTGCCCTGAGAAATACCACGCTACTATCGCTGGAGCACATGTAGACAGGAAGTGTCTGCTAAGAGGTTGCAAGAAATCAGCATTACTGAGATGCAACAAAGGATGAAAAAAAAGTGGAAATCAGGCAAACATTTTATTTTTTTTTTTTTAAATCATCACCCTACGAAATGATCAAAATCGATCATAACACTACCTGATATCGTGTACACCGGTACATGACCTTTTGTGTATTCTCACCTCCGTTTAATTCGCTCTGAGCAGTTCTGGCTCTTTCCTCCAGTTTTGAGCTGTTGTCCTTCAGTTCTTTTCCTTTTTTTGCAAGCTGTTGGGACACCACGTCCTGTACGGAGACACATATGATAATTCCATCAGACATTAAAGCAAAGTTCAGCAACCTACAGCAACCAATCAAAAACTCTCTCAAAAATCCAACAGATTCTTAGAGAGGATAGACTGTGATTGTATTCACGTTGTAAGGAGCTGCGCAAACTGGTGGCATTAAATAAATCCAGTATAAAAATATTAATAACCAATACCCAGGGGTGGACTGACCATTTGGAAACTTGGGCACTGCCCGAGGGCCCAGGGTCAGTAGGGGGCCCCATGAGATGCCCCTGGTACCTTTTTCATAGGCTTTTTTGAGTTTGGGCAAGGACACAGGGGCCCCATGATCCCCTATTGCCAGGGGGCCCCAGGAGTTGTCAGTCCGCCCCTGCGCAATACCCCAAGCCTGTCACAACCCTGCAAACAGATCCTTGTAGTATGTGATGCGATGATTCTTTGAATTTGAGACATCACACACCCTAAAGCCAGCCATACATGTTAAGATATCTCTCGCTGAGCCCAGCAGGATAAACCTGAGAGATTATTAAACAGCATGGATGGATGAATCTCAAGTGCCAGGTATTTTATTCTGACAGCAGACAGTGGCTGCATCTGACTGAATGCAGGGGCTGTCGAGAATTTTTGAGAAAATCAGCCAAAATTCAATCCATGTAGGTCCAGCTTAAGAGTAAATAAGCGTAACTGCGTCACACTAGGCCAGGGGTGAGCAACTGCGGCCCTCCAGCTGTCATGGAACTACATGTCCCATAAGGCATTGAAAGGCTGACAGTTGCATCATGACTCGCAGAGGCATGATGGGACTTGTAGTTCCACAAATGTTGGAGGGCCAAAGTTTGCCCACCCCTGCACTAGGCCTTGCCCTTCACCTTAAGTGCTTCTCCCGATGCACGGCTGGCGTCCTTTGCCGCCTTCTCGGCTTGCTTCATGGCTTCGATAATGCTGGAGTAAGCATTGGATGCATTTATGGCCTTCTGGATGAATTCGTCTTGATTGGAGTCTATAATGGCACTGGAAAAAAAATTAAAATGTACATCGTTTTAGGGAAAATTCTCAGAAAACAAAACAGTCGCTTAGACAGTCATTTATCTGATGTGTTCTAGACCACTACTAGCTGCTATAGCTGAAGGACATAAAGAGACAGTACATTGCAAAGTTGGCCATACAATTTTCTCATCAGCTGCCAATTCGAGCCTTCAAGCGGAACTTCTCTAAAAAGGGAAGTCTTCTGCTTTTCTTCCTCCTCCCCGCCTCACGCCCTTCCCTGTCATATTTGGAATGTCTTTTTTTTGGAGGGGGGGTGGGAGTCGGTACCTGATTTTGAAAGGTACCCACTCCAACTTCTGTTCTGGCTGTCTAGGCCAGTGTTTGTCAACCTTTTTTCAGTCAAGGCACCCTTTAAAATTATGGACAGTCTTGAGGCCCCCCCCCCATTCTAAAATGTGAAAAACTATTCTAATAGTTTCATATAATGCAACATCCACACATGTAGGACACCCAACATTAGAGGGGATTTATTCTCCCAAAGCAAACACACTTTTGCACACTGGTACTGACTAGTATTCCAGTGTTTCTCCTCTCCGTCAGTTTTTTATCCATCACTGAGCTAATGTGACCCCAGCACTGATGGAGAGGGGCGGGGGAGGGTCAAACTAGGATGCTGTGCAGGCAGCTGACATCCTCCTTATCAACTGATGATGTCATTGGTTGTCAGGACACCGGTGGCTAGAAGGTGGTAATGGTGCACAATGAAAACCTGTGGCTTTGTGTAAATAAATAGCAGGCTTGTTCCACCCGCTGGCTTTTATACACTATTAGGGCAATTTTTAGAAATTTTGCCAAGGCACCCCTGAAGAAACCTCAAGGCACCCTGGTTGAGAAAGGCTGGTCTAAGCAATCAGAGCAGAAGTTCGCTTCTCCAGCCTCGCGGGTGAGGCTATTGCTGGATCCTGGAACAGGTATGTGTGTGTTTTTAAAAAGTCAGCAGCTATTTTTGTTTACAGGGTGAAGAACTGCTTTGAGGTCCACTAAACTGAATCCAAAAATATATATAGTAGAGACTAATACATTAAAATTGTGTATGAAAAAGTCCAACATACCTACAAACATATTGAGACAATTGTCATTGCCAGGGGCGGACTGACCATTTGGAAACTCGGGCACTGCCCGAGGGCCCGGAGTCAGTAGGGGGCCCTATGAGATGCCCCTGGTACCTTTTTATGGGCTTTTTTGAGTTTGGGCAAGGACACAGGGGCCCCATGATCCCCTATTGCCCGGAGGCCCCATGAGTTGTCAGTCCGTCCCTAGTCATTGCTCACATTTAGAAGATATATGACAGCCCCTATCATGCTTTACAGCCAAAAGGGTGACATCACTATTCAAAGCCTGAAACTCTATAACTTTCTGTATCACCTCCAGCCTGAGCAGTGGACTATAAATGAGAGTTCCCCTCTGCCCTTAAACCTGCCTAACTATCCTCTCCCAGTAGCTAAAATATGTGAGGATGACAAAACTCCACAGTATAGTAAAGCCTGAGCGGCTCACAATACAGACACATGCCTGGCTTCTGGGGTGCACCAGAGGAAAAGAATGATAAATAAAGATGAGACTCAGCTTATTATTCCAGAAATGTTTAAAAAAGTGGTTAGTGATTTCAAACTTAATATATATAGCTGGACTGAGGTTTGTCTTAAGGAGACCCCGTCACAAATAAAAAAAAAATTGCAGGTAAAAGCATAGAAAAATCAAGTGTTTTAAATGTTCACATGCAACTTTTTTTTTCCCATGTATGGAAAATACTGACTTGCAATGTGCCCTGAACATGTTAGCAAATTTGACTACTTCAGGAGGAGTCAATTTCTGAGAACAGCCCCCCTGAGCATGTCAGAGCAGTCTCTTCTATTGGGAGTGTCTAATTACTGTCTGTGCCAGCCCAGCTCCTACACTCCTCCCCTGAATTCCCTACATAACCTGTTATGTAGCTGCCAAGGGAGGAGTGAAGAATAATACTGTAGAGAATCACCTGAGGCCACTGTGGCTGCTGACATCACATCTAAGATGTCCGTGCCCAGCAGCAGACTCAGGATTTTTGGATGTCTACACAAAGAAGGATTTCACAGGTGAGCAACAGGCCTTAATTACAGTAAATGTACATATTTAATTATGAGAAAATTTGTTGAAGAAATTAGTGGTCTGGCAATTGGGTCTCTTTAATGATGAGGTAACAGACAGCAGATCTAATGGCATTACTAGTGGCTACAAGAAGTCATTATGGTCTCCTACTTGTTGAGGTTTTTGGCCACCTGTCCCAGCATTTTGGCATGCTCCTCAGCCTGCTCCACAATTGCCAACTTGCTGCTCGCAGGGGAGAATGTCTTAGCCTTTTCCATGATTGAGCTCCGAGCTCCATCAACGCCTGCAGCCAGCTTCTCATATTCCTAAAGAATCAAAGGATGGGTAGCCTGTAAACTCAGGGACAGTAGGGCTAGATGTGACTCTTTCTAGTCTTCATTGCTTTATACAGACCAAAACTTACTTCCTTCAGGTCCTCCATCATCTGCAGGATTTGTGAGACCTGGACAAGCGCATCTTCTGCCATCTTAACGGCTGCCACCAGTTCCTTGTGCTGAGTCTTTAGGTCTTTAAGCTTCAGCTGTAAGAATAATACCTTTAGTGAGATTCACAAGTATAGCCAACATTCCAGAAGACAAAAAAGAAGAGTGCAATTCAGGCAAACATGTAAAACAACAACACTTCAGAGCTACAAGGGGCCCCCTTCCCAAAGTGACATGGAGAAAAACCCATGTATCATATGAACCTTCTAACAAATTGAAAGATTCTCAATATGATTTCTCTTGTTAGCAGAACTATTCTCTAGCTGTACCTTGTTTTCCTCCAGGCTGTTGTGGTTAAGGCTGTTGAGGCCTTCAGTCTCTATGGTCTTATTCACAGCCTCATTCATGGCATCCCGAAGATCCATCACCTCTGAGTTGTAAGTGTCCAGCCGTGTCTTGATGTCATTAAGAATGTCTTGGTTGGATTTAACGCTATTTAGTAGATCTGCTTTCACCCGGTCTAGCACTAAAGCATAAAGATTAAAATTTCAGGATCAATTAGAATCTTACATAGTCAGAGATCTAGCTGAAGGCTTGCCTATCAGTCTGCTTCAAAGAATAGGCTAAGTGATGAAAGCTTAGAGGACTTTAAAACCCTCCAAATGGTTGTCTCCAAAGTTAAGAACCTAATTGAAGTTTTACTCCCTCTGACTTTTATGACCTGACCTCTAAACTGTCATTGAAGGTTTGTGATCCTAGTAGATTATAGATCCAGCAATGATGGAGGATCCCTATTGCTTACATTTTTTAGTTTCTTCAAGCTCCTTTCCAGCCAAGCCCTTAGCAGGCTTGAAATCTTTGTCTCTCATCTCCTTCAGCATTCGCTCCACATCAGTCATGATCTTCCTGAACTCTTCAGTGGATGTCACATTGGTGGTATTTGAGGAGCCGATCTTGCTCAGCTGATGGATCAGATCTGTAAGGCAGTCAGAAAGTAACAAAAATGAAGAAATGTTTGACAGTAGTCCTGGGCCATGGAGGCCACAATCTAAAACATATCTGTTGGCATAACATATTTTGTTCTTGGAATTGATTGTGGTATAAAAGCAGACATGCTGTAAGCCCTATTCAAGAGGATGTATTTTAACAATCCACAAACCAACATTAAACTTGCTTGTGGTTATACTATATGGCCAACACTATATGGGCATCCATCCAAAATCAGGTGTTTCCAGTGAAGGGTACTGTTAGTGCTGCAACACACACTACAAAGACATTTTGGACAATTGTGTGTTTTTTTTTATTTTGTTGCAACAAGTTGGGGGAGAGTCCATATAATGTATTGGGAGCTGACTGGCCTTGCATGCAGCCATGGACAATTTTTAATAAAAAGCTTTCTACAAATATACAAACTTGGCTCAGCTGGATTTTTTTAGGTCTGTGTCTATGAGGGAGGAGGGAACACTACAGGCAACGGCTCTCTCAGGGGTAACAATAAAGATCATCTTAGAAGGGTTTTCCCCCAAGCAGGCTTGTGCTGAGAGCATCAGCATGGACTAAGAAAACATTCTCTACAGCCTTAGTGAGCCTTTGCTTTGCCCAGTACGTTCACTTTAACAGTGGTCCCATCAGCTGCCTAAACTTAACTTCTCTTCACTACCCAGCTGCTCCATTCAGCAGATGGGAGTGTGTAGAAAAATGGCTAGCACTTCTGAGTATGACAGGCTATGTGACTTCCTCCGTCTTCCCATAGGACTGTGCTTGTGTTTGGTGATGGGTAACTTAGGCACCCAGACCTGCCACTAGGAATAATTGTCCTCAGCCCTGTGTTGTGACTTTTGACTTGTGAGTTTCTTCTCTTTGCTCCTGGTGGCTGACTTGAACAGAAAAGCAAAAGGATAACTATAAGCAACCAATAAAGTGAACCTGTTGCTTTGCCCTGGATGACCAAAGTATAGGTTCACTTTACTGGTATGCTGTTTTTTTTTGCGTGTGATAAAGCGATGTGAAGAGGGTGACCAAAGTTTTTTTCATCAAAAACATTACCAACTGAAATTTGCCAACAGTTAGCAACCAAGGGCATGAATCTATTCTGTATTTCCAAAAAGCATCTTCTGTGAGTTATGTTTATGTTGCCTTTGGTTGTCCCTACCCCTCAGTTAACACAGTTATGAATTTGAGAGTATCATCTTTTTCTGCAGCACCCCCAGAAAGCTTTACCCTGAGTGATGTTGTAGAGCGATTGGACCCGGTTTGTAACGTCTTTGGCCTTCTGTTTGGTGTCTTTGGTTGCCTGTTGCACATTAGCAGCTTTGTGTTTGGTTGAATTCACCTGAAAAAGAAAACCTTTGTTTTTTTAAGTCAGACAAAAAAATGAATTCATCTATAATTCCCACATGTAAATTATACAGTATTTATTTCAGTTGTCACCTATTGCTTTGGCTTTATCATTATTGTAGGCTCAGAGAGGCTGAGCTCACTGCGGATTGTTATTTCATCTTTACTATTTAGGAAAAAGCTTATGTTCCCACACATGGTTTAGCTCAAATACCATATATTTTTAGATGCTCTCAAATGCAAATGCATACATGTTGGTAACAGTTTTTTTTAATATGAGCCAAGTTGTCTTTTCTACTTATTGATTTTCTAACAAGGCAGATGCGTGGACATCCCCTTGAGCAAAAAGTGGAAAGAACGTCTCTCACCTTTTCTTCCAGTGTGTCAAGGTCTTGGGCGAGGCTAAAACTGTCATCTTCCAGATCGTCAGATTTATCTTTAATGCCATTGATGGAGCTCTGATAATGGAGCCAAAGATCCTGCAGACGATATACATAATATACATCGGAATTCAGCTACATAGCCAAGGTCAGCACGGTAAAATATTGGCATTCAACTACATAGCCAAGGTCAGCATGGTAAAATATTGGCATTCAGCTGCATAGCCAAGGTCAGCACTTATATCTTACGTACTGTGAGGTTGGTAATGGTGGCATTGAGGCCACCCAAGCGTGTCCAGGCAATAGAACTCAGGCTCAGGTTGGTCAGCTGGTCCCGGACACTAGGAAGAAAATCTGCCATCCTCTGTAAATCCTCCAGAAGTGTCACCACACAGCTGTCACATGCTGCAAAAAGTCATTAGACATGAGTTAACCACTGTACAATAATGTGATGACTGCAGGGCACTTTGATGTTCTTTTGCCTTGAACTAATTGGTTATCATATCTACCTTGTATTCATTTCCCATCAGACTTCTATTTAGATGGGACTGGAATGTTCTCCCCCTTGTTTTTTGTACGACTTTTCGCCCACAATCCTATAACACACTCTTGAAATAACTGACCTAATGACCTAGTGTCTGTGTCTGTGTATGTCTGTATGTGTATGTCTGGTGTATGACCAGGGGCGGACTGACAACTCATGGGGCCCCTGGGCAATAAGGGATCATGGGGCCCCTGTGTCCTTGCCCAAACTCAAAAAAGCCTATGAAAAAGGTACCAGGGCATCTCATGGGGCCCCCTACTAACCCCGGGCCCTCAGGCGGCGCCCGAGTTTCCAAATGGTCAGTCCGCCCCTGTGTATGACTAGATTGTAAGCCCCTCCAGTACAGGGAGTGATGTGAATGTCCATGCATGCTCTATGTCACTGCAGAATATGTTGGCACTATGTAGACACAGGAAACAAACACATTGGGCCATACAGTTCTTTGGTAATTTTGTTTGCATTTTAAAGCTAAATGCAAATTTTTCCTATTCTAAATAAATACAAATACCAGGGAATCTAATTAATACTTACGTTCACATTTCAACACCTCTGGCCCATGGCTGACTGGAATCTCGTATTGGCGGATGCACTTGTCGCACTGCTTTCCCGTTAGCCCGTCGCTGCACTGACACTCGCCAGTCCGTGGGTCGCATGAGCCCCCTTTACAGTGACACTCTGTAGAATAAAAAAATGAATGGAATTCTGCACAGATTGTCAGCGGGAAAAGCAATACCAGTAATTAGAGCATATGACCCAGGTGTTTTCAGGTCTTTAGCCATATTCAGATCTGCGGCACTGGAAATTAAAATAGACCTAGCTCTCGGAAATCTATACCAATATTCACAATTATTTAATGACTTAATAAAAGGTAATCTATAAAGTATAAAGGGAGTCTGTAATGCAGCATATTAGACATGACAGCTGCCGAGCAACGTCCACAAGCATCACCAAGAAGAGCCAACAGCAAAACAAGCCAAATGCTCAAAGAACCATATGGAGGAAGGGTTAGATTTAATCATGAAATGCAGCTGAAATATCTCCAGGAGGCAGATAACTGAAGAAGAATGCTGGGCAAAATATGAAAGCACTATTTAGTTGGCTTATGTGCTCATTTAAAATGTTAAAAAATCATTTTCCAATTCAGCTAGTATATTTAGTCAGTACACAGATGATAAAAGTTTCTATCGGACTTGCAGAAGGAGTGAGGACATGAAAGTTGATGGGTGAAAGGGGTAGACTTAGTTTACAAGATTAGTTCAAAGACCAGACAGACACAAAGTCAGTCTCTGTTACCAGAGAATAGATAATGAATATAGCGAGCGCTCAGAAAAACCAGCTGCTAGAACACTTCAAGGGATCACTAAAACCTCATAGTAGAGACATTATATATATATATAGTGCAGCGCTGAAAAATGTAATGAAATAAGATACAAAATATATAAAAAGTCTTTCTCATGACAATAAAGTCAATAAAATCAAATATGTGCAGGTCTTCTCCTCATTAGGTGACTGGAAAATAACAAGATTGCGCACTCACCGACCGCACATTTAAAATGCGCCTGTGTATGATATATTCCAAAAGACCAGCCAGGTATACAGCTCCAGAGACCACACGAATCCTCCCTTCTCCACACTCTCATGCGCCTTGGGTGTAGCAATATCTCCAGATCCAAAGGTAGAAAGACAGAGATCCCCCTTTTTTGGTTCCAGACACCCCAAGAATGGAAGATGTGTATCTGCACTCTCCAACAGGAGAGTCAAAGAAAAAGGGAACGCCAATAGTGTGGTACTATCAAAACTTTATTGGAGCAATATGCCTGGGTCATATGCACACACATATCCATACACCATAAGCCAATAACGGACAGGTAAGTATGAAAAGAAAATGGTACTAACCCGGCAATGGCATAAAAACAAAGACCACTAGACCTCCTCTTGGTCTCAGTGGTCTGGAAGTCACACTTGCTACTTGGCTCCTCCTGAGGCCTTTCGTGCAAAAAGCACTTCTTCAGAGGATGGACGCCACTAGCAGTGTGACAGCCAGACTTCCATTTTAAAAGCCGTTCGCGCATGCGCGAAAATCCCGCTCTATCGTAAAAAGCGGTACTGCGCGTGCGCGAATAGCGGCCATATTGCCGTTGATCGCGGCTGTGCAGTATCAAACTGCGCATGCGCCACCCGATCGCCGCCATATTGCCATGGATCATAGGCAGCAAAGAATGGCTGCTGCTGAGGTTTAACAAATTAAAGGAAAAAAC